GTACACCTCCAATTGACTGAAATTATGTCAATTAGCCTATCAGAAGCTTCTAAAGCCATGACATCATTTTCTGGAATTTTCCAAGCTGTTTAAAGGCACAGTCAACTTAGAGTATGTAAACTTCTGACCCACTGGAATTCTGATACAGTGAATTATAAGTGAAATAATCTGTTTTTGGAAAAATTACTTGTGTCATGCACAAAGTAGTTGTCCTAACCGACATGCCAAAACTATAGTTTGTTAACAAGAAATTTGTGGAGTGGTTGAAAAACGAGTTTTAATGACTCCAACTTAAGTGTATGTAAACTTCCGACTTCAACTGTATATCATCCATGTAAAAAACCTGTCTGATTTAGAATTAATAATGTCCGACAATACCTTTTTTAATTCTATGCGCTATACATTTTGCTAGAATTTTTGCATCACAACACTGAAGTGTAAGGAGCCTCCAATTTTTTAAATGGACTGGATCTTTATATTTCCCACTTGTATCCTGTTTCAGTAATAATGAAATCAGACCTTATTGAGTGTCTGATAATTTACAATTTACATAGGAGTGGTTAAAACATGCTAATAACGGTCCTCTGAGTATATCAAAAAAAGGTTTGGTATACCTCGACTGGTATGCCATCCAACCCTGGAGTTTCCCCAGACTTAAAGTCTTTAATTGCATCCAGAAGTTCCTCCTCTGTAATTTCACCTTCACATGAGTATTTCTGTATGGCTGTTAATTTTACATTATCAATGGACAAAAAATCCCTACAATTCGCTTCAGTTAGAGGAGATGGAGGCGACTGAAACAAAAACATATGCTTAAAGTACTTTGCTTCCTCCTTCAAAATATAATTTGGTGAGTCATGGGTGACTCCGTTATTTGTAACCAGTTTCAGTAAATTATTTTTTCCCCATATTCCATCCAGTTTGCTTTATTTTTATAATATATTACACTTGATCTTTCTTGAATAAGTTTCTCCATTTCTTTTAGTTTTTCTTCTAATTTATTCTGAGCCTCTATGTTACAGTTTTTGTTGCTATCTATCTGTTTTGTTAGACCTATTTCCTTTGTTAGCAGGGACTCTTTTGACCTAAATCGCTTTTGTTTTTGAGATGAGTACTGAATTGCATGGCCTCTAAAGGCACATTTTAAAAGTGTCCCATACAATAAGGGGATTTGCTGTACGTATGTTATGTCAGAACAGAAAAGATCAGTTATAAATTCCTCTGTCCTAGTTAACTTGTTTTTATCATCCAATAGGCTTTGATTAAATTTCCAATATCCTCGCCCACGTGGAAATTCAGTAAGAGTAATGTATATGCCAATTATATGATGGTCCGACCACATTCTGTCCCCTATCAACACTTTTTAAACTTTTGGTGCCAATGAGAATTACATAAGAAAGAAGTCAAGCCGACTAGCTTGATTGTGTCTCTGCCATGTATATCTCACTAGGTTAGGATATTTAAGCCTCCATATATCTACTAGTTCTAATGTATCCATGACATTCATGATTTCCTTAAGAGCATGAGGGTGATAGTTTGTAGTGTGATTTCCTTTACGGTCCATTGAGCTATTTAAAACAGTATTATAATCTCCCACCATAATAATAGAGTCCTGTATTGCTTGCAGGGTTGATCATTTATTAGATATATTGTCAAAGAAGTGTGGATCATCATTATTTGGTCTGTAAAGATTAATGAGCCATATCTGTTTATGGTCCAATAACATATTTAAAATCATCCATCTACCTTGCGTATCTGTTTGGACAATTTTCACATTCGGATCGAAATTACTGTTAATTAATATCATCACCCCTTTTGAGTTTCTTTGCCCATGGGAGAAGTATATTTTGCACGCCCAGTCCTTTTTCCATACAACTTCATCTAGAATTGTTGAATGAGTTTCCTGTAAACAATAGATATTATATTCCTTCTCTTTGAGCCATGTAAATATTGTTCTTCTTTTGTTAACTGCTAAGCCATTACAATATAACTGTCTATACTTATTTCACCACATACCATAATGAGATACAAGTTTCAAATCTATTTATCATTATATATGTTTGTAATTTGTAAAAAATACCATAGTGATTGAGTGTCCATATAGCTGTACCATGATATTTGCATTGCTACTAAGTAACCCTCCAATTGTTCTCCACTATTCCCCCCGCTAAAGCTCCTCCCCATCCCAAGTTGGGTTGTCATCCCAGTGATCGGCATACCACCCCCGTCCCCCCGGATCCCATAGCCCCCCGAGAGGCCGGGACCCATCCTTCGAAAACAGCACACAGTGCCACCCACAAAACAGAAGCAGGTCAACCGCCAAAAGCATTTCCAATGCTCTCACATATATATATATATATATATATATATATATATATATATATATATATATATATATATATATATATATATATATATATATATATATATATATACACATACATTGGGGAAAAAAAGTATTTAGTCAGCCACCAGTTGTGCAAGTTCTCCCACTTAAAAACATGAGAGAGGCCTGTAATTTTCATAGTAGGTACACGTCAACTATGACAGACAAATTGAGGGAAAAAAATCCAGAAAATCACATTGTAGGATTTTTTATGAATTTATTTGCAAATTATGGTGGAAAATAAGTATTTGGTCACCTACAAACAAGCAAGATTTCTGGCTCTCACAGACCTGTAACTTCTTCTTTAAGAGGCTCCTCTGTCCTCCACTCGTTACCTGTATTAATGGACCTGTTTGAACTTGTTATCAGTATAAAAGACACCTGTCCACAACCTCAAACAGTCACACTCCAAACTCCACTATGGCCAAGACCAAAGAGCTGTCAAAGGACACCAGAAACAAAATTGTAGACCTGCACCAGGCCGGGAAGACTGAATCTGCAATAGGTAAGCAGCTTGGTTTGAAGAAATCAACTGTGGGAGCAATTATTAGGAAATGGAATACATACAAGACCACTGATAATCTCCCTCGATCTTGGGCTCCACGCAAGATCTCACCCTGTGGGGTCAAAATGATCACAAGAACGGTGAGCAAAAATCCCAGAACCACACGGGGTGACCTAGTGAATGACCTGCAGAGAGCTGGGACCAAAGTAACAAAGCCTACCATCAGTAACACACTACGCCGCCAGGGACTCAAATCCTGAGTGTCCCCCTACTTAAGCCAGTACATGTCCAGGCCCGTCTGAAGTTTGCTAGAGTGCATTTGGATGATCCAGAAGAGGATTGGGAGAATGTCATATGGTCAGATGAAACCAAAATAGAACTTTTTGGTAAAAACTCAACTCGTCGTGTTTGGAGGACAAAGAATGCTGAGTTGCATCCAAAGAACACCATACCTACTGTGAAGCATGGGGGTGGAAACATCATGCTTTGGGGCTGTTTTTCTGCAAAGGGACCAGGACGACTGATCCGTGTAAAGGAAAGAATGAATGGGGCCATGTATCGTGAGATTTTGAGTGAAAACCTCCTTCCATCAGCAAGGGCATTGAAGATGAATCGTGGCTGGGTCTTTCAGCATGACAATGATCCCAAACACACCGCCCGGGCAACGAAGGAGTGGCTTCGTAAGAAGCATTTCAAGGTCCTGGAGTGGCCTAGCCAGTCTCCAGATCTCAACCCCATAGAAAATCTTTGGAGGGAGTTGAAAGTCTGTGTTGCCCAGCTACAGCCCCAAAACATCACTGCTCTAGAGGAGATCTGCATGGAGGAATGGGCCAAAATACCAGCAACAGTGTGTGAAAACCTTGTGAAGACTTACAGAAAACGTTTGACCTGTGTCATTGCCAACAAAGGGTATATAACAAAGTATTGAGAAACTTTTGTTATTGACCAAATACTTATGTTCCACCATAATTTGCAAATAAATTCATAAAAAATCCTACAATGTGATTTTCTGGATTTTTTTTCCTCATTTTGTCTGTCATAGTTGACGTGTACCTATGATGAAAATTACAGGCCTCTCTCATCTTTTTAAGTGGGAGAACATGCACAATTGGTGGCTGACTAAATACTTTTTTTCCCCACTGTGTGTGTGTGTATGTATATATATATATATATATATATATATATATATATAGAAAGGACCTGATTTACGAATACATATACAGTTAGAGCTGGTTGAGAAAGCATGCAAAATGGAGCAAAAATTGACACATTTGAGATTTGATTAACCTATGTCAAGTCCTAGGTGATGGAGATCAGATCCACCCTCTTCCTCTGAGACTCAAACACTCTGGTCCCCCGTTGTAACCATTTTTCCCAAGCATCTCCGAGCAGTCAGACCTTTTGATTATTTTGTGGCACCAGGGCCACAATAATATGCCCCCTCTCTGATTGTCCGAGTGTGACCCCCTCCCCATGGGTTACTGCAGCCAGTGTTGCCAGCACTGCCGCTACCTGGGTGGGGGTACCCCACCGGAATCCCCACCGGCTAGGTACAAGGTCGTCAAGGTTCTCGTTAGCAGCTTTGAGAATGTCCTTGTATATTATGCTCTTGGACCAACCCTGCCAGGCAGGCTCAGAATCTTGAGGGGGTGGTGCTGCTCTAGTAGGTCATCTTCAGTTTCTTGACTCTAGACTAGTCTAAAGCATAGGAGGAGATGGTGAAAGATATCATCATCCCCCAGAGCTTATGGTTAAATCACAGCCTATTAGTGCAAATTGGTTCTGAAATAAACTGCCATCACAATGATAATAGTCCACTAGAGACTGAGGAGAGCTAATTCTTCCCTTTTAAAGAATGTGTTATGTTGTAGGCTCTCCTGACATTTATTGCTGAAAAACACCTACATTGAAAATCTGCTATGAAGGAACAATGGGCCACAAACACTGATGGTCCTACTGGATGGCTGGATTATCCTCTGACACAGAACAGTGTGGACAAAAAAACTGAGTGCACATGGCAGACAGGGAACAAGGTCCAGAGAGCTGGCTGGCTGAGAAAGCCATATTGTCGTCTTAACATCCCAAATCTGCAGGTAATCCCCCCGTTTCATGCTAAGGTAACACTACCTCCGTCTCTGTGCTGGGGCTGCAGGCCTGGGAGGCAGAGCAGACAGACTGTTCCCCATGAACAGACTGAGGATTAAGCCCAGCCCAGCCCAGGCTCCTCAGAGGGGGCAACCAGGCCTTGAACAAAGCCCCTGCCTTCAAAACTAAACGGATGGTGTGTACTAGTGATGCGCAGGTTTAGGGTCATGAAATATTATATTTGAATAAAAAGAAAACAATGCATAAAAAAATCCATTAATGTATAATTATTGTGGAATTCATATCTATAGGCTACATTGAGGTTTTTATTTTATTATTTCTATCTGGCATTAGCGCATAATCCTAAACTTTATGGCCTAACTGTACGCGTACCGACTGAAACCTGGCACAGTGGACGCTATTCTGTTTCTCAACAGTGCTGCAAAGAAAGTAAGACTGAGGAGGCAAGTATAGCCTCATAACTAGACAGTGGGTACTTTGATTTTCAAAACACGTGTGTTATGTTTATTTTCTAAGCCTATTTTATTTTTTTATTATTCAAATGCCTGTATAAGGTATTAGCCCACACAGGCAGTCGGCTTTCAAGGTGTACGTTTTATTATTTCACATTTTGTTTAGTTTCAGCAAAATGATAGGCGACTGACTGTTCAATAAGCCTTTCAAATGAATAGGCCTAAATGCTCATGAAAAACGTCAGTGTTCAATAAATTCTTCAAGGGCAAAGTAGCCTAATTGTACGGTGCATTTTCACAAAAACATGCAGAAGTGTCAATTTAGGCTATTTGAATTTTTTCTTTGAGCAAAACATTAGGCTACTTACTGTTCAACAGGCCTAAATATTTAAGTCCAATGCAGCCATTTTGAACTCTATCAAATCATTTCTGGGTTATAATTAAGTACCTTACTGTGATTGTTTTCAGTTAAAATGGTCAACAAGAAAAAAATGGCTTCTTAGCAAAGAGCAATTTTTCAAGCCATAATTTAGCAAGGACTGTCTGGGAGTGGTCTTAGTGGGGAGGGGAAAACTAGCTGTTATTGGCAGAGAGGTTTGAAACTTTCTTGTTGGTCTATTAATTATTTTACCACCTTGCCAAAACTCCATCCCACCAAAACTTTTCAAACAGCTCTTACACAAAGGGTATTATCATAATTTTCACAATTTCACAGCGTTATTCCAACCTTGTGTGTGTATATATATATATACAGTGGGGAGAACAAGTATTTGATACATTTTGCAGGTTTTCCTACATACAAAGCATGTAGAGGTCTGTCATTTTTATCAAAATCCAGAAAATCACATTATATGATTTTTAAGTAATTAATTTGCATTTTATTGCATGACATAAGTATTTGATCACCTACCAACCAGTAAGAATTCCGGCTCTCACAGACCTGTTCGTTTTTCTTTAAGAAGCCCTCCTGTTCTCCACTCATTACCTGTATTAACTGCACCTGTTTGAACTCGTTACCTGTATAAAAGACACCTGTCCACACACTCAATCAAACAGACTCCAACCTCTCCACAATGGCCAAGACCAGAGAGCTGTGTAAGGACATCAGGGCTGGGATGGGCTACAGGATAATAGGCAAGCAGCTTGGTGAGAAGGCAACAACTGTTGGCGCAATTATTAGAAAATGGAAGAAGTTCAAGATGACGGTCAATCACCCTCGGTCTGGGGCTCCATGCAAGATCTCACCTTGTGGGGCATCAATGATCATGAGGAAGGTGAGGGATCAGCCCAGAACTACACGGCAGGACCTGGTCAATGACCTGAAGAGAGCTGGGACCAGAGTCTCAAAGAAAACCATTAGTAACACACTACGCCGTCATGGAATGAAATCCTGCAGCGCACGCAAGGTCCCCCTGCTCAAGCCAGCGCATGTCCAGGCCCGTCTGAAGTTTGCCAATGACCATCTGGATGATCCAGAGGAGGAATGGGAGAAGGTCTTGTGGTCTGATGAGACAAAAATAGAGCTTTTTGGTCTAAACTCCACTCGCCGCGTTTGGAGGAAGAAGAAGGATGAGTACAACCCCAAGAACACCATCCCAACCGTGAAGAATGGAGGTGGAAACATCATTCTTTGGGGATGCTTTTCTGCAAAGGGGACAGGACGACTGCACTGTATTGAGGGGAGGATGGATGGGGCGATGTATCGCGAGATCTTGGCCAACAACCTCCTTCCCTCAGTAAAAGCATTGAAGATGTGTCGTGGCTGGGTCTTCCAGCATGACAACGACCCGAAACGGCTCCGTAAGAAGCATCTCAACGTCCTGGAGTGGCCTAGCCAGTCTCCAGACCTGAACCCAATAGAAAATCTTTGGAGGGAGCTGAATGTCCGTATTGCCCAGCGACAGCCCCGAAACCTGAAGGATCTGGAGAAGGTCTGTATGGAGGAGTGGGCCAAAATCCCTGCAGCAGTGTGTGCAAACCTGGTCAAGACCTACAGGAAACGTATGATCTCTGTAATTGCAAACAAAGGTTTCTGTACCAAATATTAAGTTCTGCTTTTCTGATGTATCAAAAACTTGTCATGCAATAAAATGCTAATTTAATTACTTGTGGTTGCGGGTGAACAAACAGCTGACCCGCGCATAACTAGTGTTCACTGCAGATTTGATGACACACTAATGCCCAATTCCAAATCAACCACTAACATGGCATTTTCTAAGGACTGGATGGATTAGACATCTATGTGAGGTAATCACCATATTATGCCTAAACCTGATAGTTTAGGCAGATGTTCACTGTCAGCTGATCCACAGGTATTTTATTGATCCTCTTCTGATCCAACCACTAAAGTGTTCTTCCTCTGACACGATGTGGTGGTTGGTGAGCTCCGCCCTTTCCCTGAGACTCGTTTAGCCCTCCTTACCCCTCTCCTCCTCCTACCAGCCCACCTGACTTTCTAAGTCCAATTACAGAGGGTTGCTGAGCGTCCAGACGGCCCTGAGAGCTTTGTGCTTACCCAGCGAGGAACGCACCCTCCTTCTTTCTTCCTCCAAACCTCCTCCAAATCTCCCTCTCTAGCTCCCATTAACACGCGCCTCTCCCTCGCTCGCTCCTTTCGTTTCCCTCCTCCCCCTCTCTCGCGCATTATCCTCCCCTCCTTTGGTGGGACCAGCTGCTGCTATCAAACATTTCAGTCGTTCCTTGTGGGCTCCTCTCTCCGTTCTGTTGCTGCTCCCCTCCTGCAGCCACCTCTCCGCTCTGCTGCCAGCGTCACCACCAACGCCCCTTTTCAGACAACACAGGGACAGACAGACAGTACTCCTCTCTTCTACTGACAAAATGACATCCGTTCTGGACCTCAACCAGATTGCCATTGCCTGTTCGACCATTAGTGTTGTGGTGAGTGGGACTCTGTCTGTTTGTGTGGGGTTGTGTTTATCGCTGATACGCTAGTCACCCCTGTGGCCTGCCTGTTGATCGTGCTCTGACTCTTGAGCAGCGCTAACGAAGCTAAAAGCAAGCTTTCAGGGGTGTGTGTGTGATTTCTCTGCTCTGGCATGTGGCGATGTGGGCGAGCGTATGACTGAGGGAACGAACAACCTGCTTCACAAATTTGGGGGCTGTGCCCAGCAGGTGGAGTGGATGAATGGTGGTGAGGGTGGGGGTTTAGCACTGGGAGGGGTGGGGTTTAGAGGACAAGAGAAAGGTCTCTCTCCTTTGAGGTGAAGGCCCGCTCCTTCTCTGCATTCCCTGTGATTACAGGAATCAAATATGACACAGTTTGTTTTCCAGTCCCACTCACTCTGTTTTTTGTGCAGCATTTCTCTTAGAAAGGAGAAATTAACCACCAGCTGGGACTAGGAGGTTTATTTTTTAAATGGCTGCTCTGCTTGCTTGCGGAGTCACGGCCTGGTGCCACTGTGTGGACTGGACCAGACTGGTTCCTGTCCTTCCTCCTCTGGGATCAGTGGCTATACTCCTGTCTGTGGCCAGGCCAGACTGGAGCTCTAGTCTAAGAGGGAAACAGACTCCTACCATACAATGGGCAGGTTATCCATCTCTCCTCCTCCCTGTGTCTCTCTCTTTCACCACAGATTACTTGGGGATGTAGCCTAATGTTGGCACAGAGCAGACTGTTGAATGTTTATCAGAATCCTGCCTCGCCTCCTGCTGAGCCATCCTTGAACCTCTCTTCCTCATTTAGCACAAAGTGGTTCTGCAAAACAACGCCACTGATATGATTACATGTTGCTTTTCTTTCTGTAATATGGAACAGTGTAATTTTGTAATATGGAACTAGTTTCAACTAGTTAACACAGCCACAAAGTCAGAATTGGCTACAAAAATGTACTTTTTTTGTCATTAATTTAGGGTTAGGCATAAGGTAGCAGTGTGGTTAGGTTTAAAATCACATTTTAAGAAATTTTAGAAATGGGCGGGTTTAGCCATAATTATGACTTTGTGGCTGTGGGCTCTGTGTTGTCGTGGTAACCAATAGTGTTCAGCTTGTGTGTTCTCTTTAAAATGGAACTGACAGTGTTTTAACTACTTTGCAGATATCAAACAGACAATCATAATATCAGTAAAAAATATCAAATTCCCAGTTTATGCTACAAAACCAACTTTATAAAAGGTTTTATAAATAGGTTATATTTGACTCAACATTCCATGATGTACACTAAGGCATTGTTGGCAGAATAGATGGATGCAATTTAATGCATGATTAATATAATTCACCAATACATTATTTGGTCAATCACAGCTGGCCTGGTACATTGTTTGTTGCCTCCATTCGGGATGCACTGTTTCAGTTTCAATGACTCAATATTTTGGACAAAAACTGAAGTATGTAACTAAGGCTGGGAATGCCAATCCAATCAAACTAGTAAAGGCAATGATCACAAGTCAGTCATAATGTGGCTAATTGGCTAGCGTATTTATTTATGTAGAAGGCCAAAAACACGGAGCCTAATGTTAGCTAGCTAGCTGGCTGCTAGGAGGATGTCATGTCAATAGAGGAGTGGGTGGGTGAGTGACTGACTTTTTTTCTCCTCATATCGTTTTTTGGTGGCTATACACAGCTAGAGATGCAGGTGTAATTTGGTTAGCTAGCAAGAACTTGAACGACTTATCCAGTTAGCATATCTCTTGCATTCGCAAATTCACTCTGGCGATCTACTCCGATTTCAGAGCACTCTCATCTGAGTGTGAATAACTGATTAATTTACAAACGTGCAACACCCTCTGAATATGACCGGTCTCAGTAAACATAGGCAAAAAAAAGTAATAGTTAGTCACGAACGCTCTAGATAACATGTAAACAGCCTAACCAGATCTGCTAGGGTGAGTAAAATTGTCAGTGAGGTGTTCGCTCATTTGTGTCTGGAAGTAGCTAGCTAGACAACTTTAGCAAGTTAGCTTGGGTGCTTGGTTGGGACAAGCATGCATTGGCAGGCAAGCTGCAGAAGCACGAGTAGGCTACAATTCCCCATCGTTTATCAGTGCAATTTTGACGGCCAACTAGCTGAAAAAGTTTGAGAGGGTTTATCTAATGTTCCTTCGTTAGATTTTAGCTAATCTTGCTCTGGCTAGCATTAGTTGTTGATCTTGTTGATTTTCATAACTGAGGGAGGGAGAGCCTACCTTTTCATGGTTGTTTGATCAATAGGAATGTAAAGTTCCAAATGTAAGAGGACACCCGTGGTATTTGCAGAAATCCTTTCAGGTGTATTTTGTGACCATCGAGAGCATCTTGGCCGGTTGCATCACCGCCTGGTATGGCAACTGCTCGGCATCCGACCATAAGGCGCTACAGAGGGTAGTGTGTACGGCCCAGTACATCACTGGGGCCAAGCTTCCTGCCATCCAGGACCTATATACTAGACGGTGTCAGAGGAAGGCCCCAAAAATTGTCAAAGACTCCAGTCACCCAAGTCATAGACTGTTCTCTCTGCTACCGCACGGCAAGTGGTACCGGAGCGCCAAGTCTAGGTCCAAAAGGCTCCTTAACAGCTTCTACCCCCAAGCCATAAGACTGCTGAACAATTAACCAAATGGACACCCAGACTATTTGCATTGACCCCCCCCCCCCCCCCTTTGTTTTTACACTGCTACTACTCGCTGTTTATTATCTATGCATAGTCACTTTACCCCTACCTACATGTACAAATTACATCAACTAACCTGTACCCCCGCACATTGACTTGGTACTGGTACCCCCTGTATATAGCCTCATTATTGTTATTTTATTGTGTTACATTTGTTTTTATTTTTTATTTTTGACTTTAGTTTATTTTGTAAATATTTTCTTAACTCTATTTTTCTTAACTGTATTGTTGGTTAATGGCTTGTAAGTAAGCATTTCACGGTAAGGTTCTACACCTGTTGTATTCGGCGCATGTGACAAATGACCATATCGAAGTGCTCACTTTTTTACATGTCATATTGTTCCTGGGGGTGTATATGAACAGATTAAAATAAAATGTAATGTTGCTAAAATGCTGTCAGTTCCACTTTAACTAGGAAGTGGCTCCTGTTGTCATTTAGAGGGGGTAAATTGCAGCAGCTGAGCCCCTCTCCCCATCACCTGACCCATCCACTGTTGACAACCACTGCAGTACCTCCCTCTGCTTTAGTCACAACAAGCCAAATATCAGCAGTGCACAGCACCCTCGACCTTGTGCCAGGAACACTCTAAAACAAACAATGAGGCAGATAGGCCTATGTCTGTTTTCTGCATTTTGGGGACCGCTGCTGGTTTCAATGCATTGAGTGTTTTGTTTTTGTCTTCGTCTTTCTGTCAGGCTTCCATTTCATCTGGTAGTTAAAAGCCCTAGGCTACACAACACATTTTTGTTTGGTTAGACTACAGTTGTGGCAACAGAAGTGGCAACCTCTACTGAAGCCTCTTTGATCAGTGACTAGACTGTGCTCTGAAGGGCACCTCACATGAAGCCTCCATCTCGCACACAAACAACCTTTCACACAGCCTGGCCTTTCAACCGTCTCTTCTATTTTTACTCCTCCGCACCTAGCTACTATAGAGTGTCAGTCTTCCAGGTGTCAGCTGGGTGAGAACAACCACACACCATGAATTATGATTTGAGTGATGTTATTGTCCTCATCAGTGTCTATTCCTTCTCCAATGTACTGATTATCATAGGGTGTGTATATGTTGATGCTTTTTGTAGACATGGGGTATGCATGCAGCCAGCAGAACAGCCTGGTTTAGCCTAATCTCAGTGTGGCAGCCATCCAGTGAGATCTGACGCAGTACAGAACCTCAAACCGCCATCTCTGTGGTTTTCAACTGCACCAATGGACGGAAACTGAACACTGAAGCAGGCACACACATTTAGAAGTCCTCCTCTATTTGGGTCTCTGCTTCTGAATTACAGTATTCGATTCTAAAATGGCCACCACACCATTATTGCTACCAGACCAAAACATGCACCACACACAAAGTTGCTGAAACCACAACACCAGTTTGGCTTACAAGGCTGTAGTAGCAGTATGCCTACTAGTAGGGACGTCAAACGTTCAGCCTGCTGCATGACCCTATGTCTAGCGTCTGGTTAAATTGTGCTTAGGAGCATTTTTAAGTCTCTCCATGGTTAAAGTAGGAAGAAATAGATGTAATTGTTGTAAAAATGTGAATGTGCTACACAGACACATGTAGTATACTCAATTGCATTGAGGTTTGTCTGTTAGAAGAGCTCAAACGGTAGATATTGGTGTGTGTGTGGAGTAACTTTTATGTATTGGTCTTCAAAATATCACAACTTATTTCAGCATATTGATTATGAATTTGGACATCTAAAACCGGTGTTTTGACACTCGGCCATAAATCAATAAGCCATGACAACAGGAAGCAGCAACAGTATCATTTTCAATGTATGTTTTAGGAATATAAATGGTATATAAAAAAAAAAATCAACATGATTCTACTTTATCAGTAAAAACTACTGAATGAGCCCAAAAACGTGCTATGATTTATTGATTTCGATGATATTAGTGAAAATATGTTTGTTCTGGCTACTACTAGTGTATGGTTGTATCACATCTCTATATGCATTGCCTTCATTTATCTTGTTATGTTGATGTTATCCTGTGTTGGATAAACTTATGATTGTGTGTGTCTGGAAGAAGTTGTGACCTGTTAAGTGACATTCATATGGAATTAGAGGCAGGACTAAGGGCTGTGGATGGACAGCTATTTCCATCCCTAGATAATTAGGATTAGCCAGACGTCAGCTGACGTTATCTGGTGGCAGGCAGTGTGTCTGTGAGACAGAACAGGGAGCGGGCCCTGCTTCCTTATCCACACAGAATCTATGTGTGTGTGTGTGCGGCAGTGGTGTGAGACCGAACAGTGTGGACACGCATGCGGCGTGGTGCCGAGCTGCTTACACGCTGTCATTGTCACTACAGCTATATGGGTCATGATCCAGCCTCCATTATCAGTCTGGATCATCATCATGTACAGTTCCTTCAGAAAGTATTCATACCCCTCGACTTATTCCACATTTTGTTGTTACAGCCTGAATTCAAAATCGATTACATAAGAAAAGTCTCACCCATCTACACACAATACCCCATAATGACAAAGTGAAAACATGTTTTTAGAAATGTTTGCAAATGTATGGAAAATGAAATACAGAAATATAAAATTGACATAAGTATTCACACCCGTGAGTCAATACTTTGTAAAAGCACCTTTGGCAGCGATTGCAGCTGTGAGTCTTTCTGGGTAAGTCTCTAAGCGCTTTGCACACATGGATTTATTTTTTAATTCTTCAAGCTCTTTAGAGTTGGTTGTTAATCATTGCTAGACAGCCATTTTCAAGTATTCCCATAGATTTTCAAGCCTATTTAAGTTAAAACTGTAACTAGGCCACTCAGGAACATTAAATGTCGTCTTGGTAAGCAACTCCAGTGTATATTTGGCCTTGTGTTTTAGGCTATTGTCCTGCTGAAAGGTGAATTTGTCTCCCAGTGTCTGTTGGAAATCAGACTGAACCAGGTTTTCCTCTAGGATTTAGCCTGTACTTAGCTCTATTGTTTCTTTTTATCCAAAGAAATTCCCTAGTCCTTGCCAATGACAAGCATACCCATAACATGATGCAGCCACCACCATGTTTGAAAATATGAAGAGTGGTACTCAGTGATGTGTTATGTTGGATTTGCCCCAAACATAACGCTTTGTATTCAGGACATTCATTTAATTTCTTGGCCAAATGTTTAGCTGTTTTACTTAAGTGCCTTATTGCGAACAGCATGCATGTTCTGAAACATTTGTGTTCTGTACAGGCTTCCTTCTTTTCACTCATTTGTCATTTAGGTTAGTATTGTGGAGTAACTATAATGTTGTTGAGCCATCCTCAGTTTTCTCCTATCACAGCCTTTAAAGTCAGCATTGGCCTCATGGTGAAATCACTGAGCGGTTTCCTTCCTCTCCGGCAACTGAGTTAGGAAGGACACCTGTATCTTTGTAGTGACTGGGTGTATTGATACACCATCCAAAGTGTAATGAATAACTTCATGCTCAAAGGGATATTTTTTTATAAACATTTTTATCTACCAATAGGTGCCGTTTGCGAGGCATTGGAAAACATCCCTGGTCTTTGTGGTTGAATCTTTGTTTGAAATTCACTGCTCGACTGAGGGATCTTACAATCATCTGTATGTATGGGGTAGTCATTCAGAAATCATGTTAAACACTATTATTGCACACAGTGAGTCCATGTAACTTATTATGCGTTGTGTTAAGCACTTTTTTACTCCTGTATTTATTTAGGCTTGCCGTAACAAAGGGGTTGAATACATATTGACTCAAGACATTTCAGCTTTTCATTGGTAATTAATTTGTACACATTTCAAAAAAATAACATTCCACTTTGACATTATGAGGTATTGTGTGTAGGCCAGTGACACAACATCTCAATGTAATCAATTTTACATTCAGGCTGTAACACAACAAAATGTGGAAAAGGTCAAGGGGTGTGAATACTTTCTGAAGGCATTGTAGGCTACCTGCTGATTGTTCCACTGAAGAGGACCCTGTTTTAATGAGTGCTACTGAATGAAATGCACATCCTTTGAGAGAATGATTGATTTTCTGTCTACTACTGGCACTTAGAAGTGTCCTACTCAGTGGATGAATTAATAATTAATACGTGTTTTTCCTGAAATCTGCACCTCCTATAGTGCTATGACTGGCACTAAAAGGCTGGCCCCTCTAAGCTCCACAGACACCCAAGACCATGCTGTCTTGTGTGTTCCAGGAGCATGACATCGAGACCCCCCATGGTGTCCTGCATGTGACGATGAGTGGCACCCCCAAGGGCAACAGACCTGTCATCCTCACCTACCATGACATTGGACTCAACCGTGAGTACAGCACCACACACACACACACACACAGGCACTCATTAGCCTAGCTAGGCTTTGAAATCTCTCCAAACACACCTAAATACACTAAACAAAAATATAAACGCAACATGTTAAGTGTTGGTTTCATGAGCTGAAATAAAAGATCCCAGAAATGTTCCATACGCACAAAAAGCTTATTTCTCTCATTATGTGCACAAATTAGTTTACATCCCTGTTGGTGAGCATTTCTCCTTTGCCAAGATAATCCATCCACCTGACAGGTGTGGCATATCAAGAAGATGATTAAACACACAGGTGCACCTTGTGCTGGGGACAATAAAAGGTTACTCTAAAATGTGCAGTTTTGTCACACAACACAATGCCACAGATGTCTCAAGTTTTAAGGGAGCATGTAATTGGCATGCTGACTGCAGAAATGTCCACCAGAGCTGTTGCCAGATAATTTAATGTTAATGTCTCTACCATAAGCTTCCTCCAACATTGTTTTAGCGAATTTGGCAGTACGTCCAACTGGCCTCACAACCGCAGACGTATGGCGTTGTGTGGGCGAGCGGTTTGCTGATGCCAACGTTGTGAACAGAGTGCCCCATGGTGGTGATAGGGTTATGGTATGGGCAGGCATAAGCTACAGACAACAAACACAATTGCATTTTATCTAAGGCAATTTGAATGCACAAAAATACCGTGACGAGATCCTGAGGCCCGTTGTGAGGCCCATTTTTTTAAAGGTATCTGTGACCAGATGCATATCTGTATTCCCAGTCATGTGAAATCCATATTTTAGGGCTTAATGAATTTATTTCAATTTGACTGATTTCCTCATATGAACTGTAACTTAGTAAAATCACTGAAATTGTTGCATGTTACATTTAAATTCTTGTTCAGTATATAATATAATGTTCTCGTTAGAACAGTTGGAGATGATGTAAGAAGCTGGATGGTTAAATGTAGACATCTTCTTTGACTGTGGGGATATGAGCCACTAGATCAGACTGGATCACCCCAACACTTGGCTGCCTCAATGGAAAACAACACTAAGAGTGTTTTAGTATCAGTGTATTTTTGAGTTGATTACTGGTATGGGATTTGTTGATTACATTTAGTGTTGTAGTTCTTGTTAGATGTCAAGTTGAGTAGTATGTGCCCCAATGAGATGTCTTTTAAACAGTGTGTGTGTCTCTTCCCCCTACAGATAAGTCCTGTTTCAACACGCTGTTCAATTTTGAGGACATGCAGGAGATCACATCACACTTTGCTGTTGTCCACGTGGATGCCCCAGGACAGCAGGAGGGTGCTCCCCCATTCCCTACAGGGTAAGAGACCAGTTCACTCCTCAGTCATCATCCTCAACATCATCTAAAATATGACAAAGTATCACCACAATCATGACTCATATGATGATATTATTGTCATTATTTGTATTTTGTCTGTCCCAGCTACCAGTACCCTACCATGGATGAGCTCTCTGAGATGCTGCCCTCTGTCATGACTCAACTGAAGTAAGTTCTCCTGCAGTGTTTCCATAACTACCTCTTGCACTGTCTTTAGGAAAGCTTCTAAATGACTTTATTATTGAGTCTTCATCAAGGCCGATATTGTTCTCTTCCCTTTCCCCAGGGTGAACAGTGTGATTGGGATTGGAGTTGGAGCTGGAGCCTACATCCTGTCCAGACTGGCTGTAAGTCACCATTCCTCTAAGTCCCCCATATACCACATTAACTCCTGCTCAACCACAGCACATGGTGGTTTCCAAACATATAGCAGAATTATTTGTTAATACAAAGGGCTTACAGAGCGGCCCTATCCATATATCCACACCATTAAATCTCATTCCCCATCTTCCTCCATCTCCACCAGCTAATCTCAGAACATGTTGACCAGCAGAGCCATCACGCTGCCTGCTCTTATTACCAGCTCCATTTAATCTCTCTATAAAAAGATAGAGGATTTGAATGAATCAGATTGTCTCGAGAGTGCATAACTGGACTGATGGAGTCGTCATGCGAGTCTCATGTGGCATTGACCAGATGTACAGTGCCTTCTGAAAGTATTCATACCCCTCGACTTATTCCACATTTCTTTGTTACAGCCTGAATTGAAAATGGATTAAATATATATTTTTCTCACCCATCTACACACAATACCCTATAATGACAAAGTGAAAACATGTTTTTAGATATTTTAGCTAATTTATTGAAAATGAAATACAGAAATATGTAATTTACATAAGTATTCACACCCCTGAGTCAATACATGTTACAATCACCTTTTGGTACGTCTCTAAGAGCTTGGCACACATGGATTGTACAATATTTACACATTATGCTTTTTAAAATTCTTCAAGCTCTGTGAAGTTAGTTGTTGGTCATTGCTAGACAGACATTTTCAAGTCTTGCCATAGATTTTCAAGCCAATTTAAGTCAAAACTGTAACTAGGCCACTCAGGAACATTCAGTGTCGTCTTGGTAAGTGACTCCAGTGTATATTTGGCCTCGTGTTTTAGGTTATTGTCCTTCTGAAAGGTTCATTTGTCTCCCAGTGTCTGCTGGAAAGCAGACAACCAGGTTTTCCTCTAGGATTTTGCCTGTGCTTAGCTCTATTCCATTTATTTTTATCCTAAAAAACTCCCTAGTCCTTGCCAATGACAAGCATACCCATAACATGATGCAGCCACCACCATGTTTGATAATATGAAGAGTGGGACTCAGTGATGTGTTAGATTTGCCCCAAACATAACGCTTTGTATTCAGGACATTAAGTTAATTTCTTTGCCACATTTTTTGCAGTTTTTACTTTAGTGCCTTATTGCAAACAGGATGCATGTTTTGGAATATTTGTATTTTGTACAGGCTTCCTTCTTTTCACTCACAGTATTGTGGAGTAACTACAATGTTGTTGATCTATCCACAGTTTTCTCCTATCACAGCAATAAAACTTTGTACCTGTTTTAATGTCACCATTGGCTCATGGTGAAATTCCTGAGTGGTTTCCTTCCTCTCCGGCAACTGAGTTAGGAAGGACACCTGTATCTTTGTAGTGACTGGGTGTATCGATACACCATCCGAAGTGTAATGAATAACTTCATCATGCTCAAAGGGATATTCTGGGTTTGCTTTTTTAAAAACTCATCTACCAATAGGTGCCCTTCTTTGCGAGGCATTGGAAGGTGGTCCTCTGTAGCTCAGCTGGTAGAGCACGGCGCTTGTAACGCCAAGGTAGTGGGTTCGATCTCCGGGACCACCCATACACCAAAAAATATATATATATGCACGCATGACTGTAAGTCGCTTTGGATAAAAGCGTCTGCTAAATGGCATATTATTATTATTATTACTAAAACCTCCCTGGTCTTTGTGGTTGAATCTGTGTTTGAAATTCACTGCTCAACTGAGGGACCTTACAGATAATTGTATGTGTGGGGTACAGAGATGAGGTAGTCATTCAAAAAATAATGTTAAACACTATTGCACTTAGTCCATGCAACTTAATATGTGACTTGTTAAGCAAATGTTTACTCCTGAAGTTATTTAGGCCTGCCATAACAAAGGAGTTGAATACTTATTGACTCAAGACATTTTAGCTTTTCATTTTTTTATTAATTTTTAAAAAATAATTCAACAAACATAATTCCACTTTATGAGGGATTGTGTGTAGGCCAATGACACAAAATCTCAAAAAGTCAAGGGGTGTGAATACTTTCTGAAGGCACTGTATATTACTGTACAAATATTAGCTTGATGCTTAATATCGACCCTATTTCCCTCCATGCACTGCACACCACAGTGTTCCTTGGCGGAGATAATGCATTCTGAAAGTAGGTGTTTGTGAGAGGAATACATTAAGAGCAGAGATTACTTGAGGAGCGGCGTTAATTATAGTTAATTTAAGCCCTGCCAACATCGGGCTCATTGTGGAGGTGTGGAGGAGAGAAGGAAAGCAAGAAACAGGGGTTGGAGAAAAGATTACACTCAGTTTCTGTCTTCATACATACTCCCAAGTGGGTTAAGACCTCGTTTGTTTTATCCATCGTCCTCACTATCTGTGGAAGTGTGAATTGGAGGCTGGGGAATTGGGTGGGGGATGATGTGGCTCTAAGTTGTTGGTAAGAGCTGTGAAAGATGTCTAGTGCTGGGCTATAACATGAATATTTAGGTATGTGTGTGTTGCCTTTGCTACTGGCCCTGGCTATAAAGTGGGAGGGACAGGGTTCCTATCCAACCCAACACAGTGCGGTCAGTGTACTGTCAAAGGAACCCCCTCTCCTCTTCTCTCTCTCCCCCCAGCTTAATGAGCCTGCCCTGGTCGAAGGTCTGGTCCTCATCAATGTGGACCCCTGTGCAAAGGGCTGGATGGACTGGGCCGCCTCAAAGGTGAGAACACACGCTCACACACTTCAATGCTAACTCTGTGCATTGTTTTCTCATCGTAGAGACCTAATAGATTGGCACCTTGGAACGTATTATTTATTTAATCTTGTTTCAGATGTCCGGCTGGACCAGTAACCTGGTTGACATAGTGATGGCCCACCACTTCAGTGACGTGAGTCTGGGGGCAGTCTGGAGTGGTGGGAGACTAGGATAGGAGCAAACTGGAGGAATACTGTGGGTGGTTGACAGTGATGTAACTATCTGTGCCCTCTCCTCAGGATGAGCTGTCTGACAACCAGGAGATCACCCAGACATATAGGCTGCACATTGCCCAGGATATTAACCAGGACAACCTGGCCCTCTTCTGCAACTCCTACAACAGGTACAGTACTGTACATATAACCCCAAGAGGAACTGACCGTGTAGTTGGGTTGAATGTGTTTATTTATTTATTTATTTATTTGTTTGACAGCCGTCGGGACTTGGAGATCGAGAGGCCCATTACTGGTCTGACTGAGGACACAGTGAACACACTGAAGTATGTTTATAACTGTATCTCTGTATCAAGGTTTACGTTAGGAAAATGTGGCGCCGGACAACGTGACCAGGAAGATTTTAATTTACCGGCCATTTGAGAAATGTACTGGACCCATATGCATTGGGTGCGTAACCCATTAGGGCATCCACCCATGGTGCTAAGAATGACAGAAATCACATTTAAATTATGGTCATTCATCTTAACAGAACATACAACTCCTGTAATGAGGCAGCCAATAAAACATATTTTTCAAACATTTGCCAAAATGCAATTTGCGGGAAAACACCATTCCATATGTGACAGAGATGAAAATCTCAGTTAGAAACTTAGAAATAGGGGGGAATCTAGAGATGCAACAACTAGAATGGTTTGCTAATATGACTAAGATTGTGCCTTTGGCTTCTGGACAACAAAATAAAGTTGAAATATGAAAACCAATAGAACAGGAGAGAAATGCTGGTTTCAATGGAATATGAAGTGAAGTTTCAAGTTTTAATGTCACGTGCACAAGTACAGTGAATTTTCTTTCTTGCGAGCTCCAAACCCAACAGTGCAGTAATCAATATCAATGTAGCACTAACAATAACATAAGGTAGAACAAAAACACACAAGAAATAAGAACACAGGTTCAGTTTTAATGCCATATTTACAATGTGCAGCGATACTGGAGTGATAAGAGGTAGATATGTATAGTTTTGAGGAAGTCTATATAAAATAATTGCCTCTGTTTCAATGGTCGGATTTTGCCTAGGCTACTTTGAAGCAAGGTAAGACATGCCTCATAATAAGAAGTAGAACGTTCAGGTTTCAAACAATTAAGTATCAGTTTTCAAAATGTATACTGGCCCCAGCTCACATTGCAAAGTGGTGAGTGACTCGCTGATAGCCTGCCTAACGTTGCCTATGCACTTGAATGGCGAATGGGAAGCGCACTTCAATTACCAGTTGAGAAATAAAAATAGTAGGCTAGCTCTTAAATCGTGGCCATCAAAACTGTTTTTAACCCGCGATTGCATTTAGAATTGTTGCGCAATAACTGGGCTTATATTAAAGCACGTTTCAGTCCAGCAGCAACGAGCTAAGAAGCTGCAGCTCTAATGCTGAGGTGATATTCTGCTCAATATAGGCTCTGTGTGCGTGTGATAATTAAGATACATGACGACTAACAAAAATACACACCCACCAATTTAGTGCAAATTAACCTATAAACCGATAATCATGACTGTCAAATGTATTCACATCCACTGGTATTTAATCAATGAATAAAATACACTGCTCAAAAAAATAAAGGGAACACTAAAATAAAACATCCTAGATCTGAATGAATGAAATAATCTTATTAAATACTTTTTTCTTTACATAGTTGAATGTGCTGACAACAAAATCACACAAAAATTATCAATGGGCAAATTTATCAACCCATGGAGGTCTGGATTTGGAGTCACCCTCAAAATTAAAGTGGAAAACCACACTACAAGCTGATCCAACTTTGATGTAATGTCCTTAAAACAAGTCAAAATGAGGCTCAGTAGTGTGTGTAGCCTCCACGTGCCTGTATGACCTCCCTACAACGCCTGGGCATGCTCCTGATGAGGTGGCGGATGGTCTCCTGAGGGATCTCCTCCCAGACCTGGACTAAAGCATCCGCCAACTCCTGGACAGTCTGTGGTGCAACGTGGCGTTGGTGGATGGAGCGAGACATGATGTCCCAGATGTGCTCAATTGGATTCAGGTCTGGGGAACGGGCGGGCCAGTCCATAGCATCAATGCCTTCCTCTTGCAGGAACTGCTGACACACTCCAGCCACATGAGGTCTAGCATTGTCTTGCATTAGGAGGAACCCAGGGCCAACCGCACCAGCATATGGTCTCACAAGGGGTCTGAGGATCTCATCTCGGTACCTAATGGCAGTCAGGCTACCTCTGGCGAGCACATGGAGGGCTGTGCGGCCCCCCAAAGAAATGCCACCCCACACCATGACTGACCCACCGCCAAACCGGTCATGCTGGAGGATGTTGCAGGCAGCAGAACGTTCTCCACGGCGTCTCCAGACTCTGTCACGTCTGTCACATGTGCTCAGTGTGAACCTGCTTTCATCTGTGAAGAGCACAGGGCGCCAGTGGCGAATTTGCCAATCTTGGTGTTCTCTGGCAAATGCCAAAAGTCCTGCACGGTGTTGGGCTGTAAGCACAACCCCCACCTGTGGACGTCGTGTCCTCATACCACCCTCATGGAGTCTGTTTCTGACCGTTTGAGCAGACACATGCACATTTGTGGCCTGCTGGAGGTCATTTTGCTGGGCTCTGGCAGTGCTCCTCCTGCTCCTCCTTGCACAAAGGCGGAGGTAGCAGTCCTGCTGCTGGGTTGTTGCCCTCCTACGGCCTCCTCCACGTCTCCTGATGTACTGGCCTGTCTCCTGGTAGCGCCTCCATGCTCTGGACACTACGCTGACAGACACAGCAAACCTTCTTGCCACAGCTCGCATTGATGTGCCATCCTGGATGAGCTGCACTACCTGAGCCACTTGTGTGGGTTGTAGACTCCGTCTCATGCTACCACTAGAGTGAAAGCACCGCCAGCATTCAAAAGTGACCAAAACATCAGCCAGGAAGCATAGGAACTGAAGTGGTCTGTGGTCACCACCTGCAAAACCAGTCCTTTATTGGGGGTGTCTTGCTAATTGCCTATAATTTCCACCTGTTGTCTATTCCATTTGCACAACAGCATGTGAAATGTATTGTCAGTCAGTGTTGCTTCCTAAGTGGACAGTTTGATTTCACAGAAGTGTGATTGACTTGGAGTTACATTGTGTTGTTTAAGTGTTCCCTTTATTTTTTTTGAGCAGTGTACATTATTTTGCAATGGGATTGTTTTTTCTCCCGGTCAATTTGGCCAGCAACAATTCTATTTATCGGCTTTTCGGTTTTTTTATTGGCCAAAAGCTGGCAATTACCAGCTAACGGAAACCCTGCTCTCTCTCTCTTTTTCCATCATCGCATCCCTGAGGGGTATACTACAAATCAGGATCAAGGAGTTAGCCAGCTAACTTGCCTAAATATTCTGATATAACCTTTAAAAAAATTGAAAGATTAGCTTGAAATGGGCATGGTCTAATTGATTAAATAAACAGTTAGCTGGCTAACTCATTGATCCTGTATTATACCCCTCTGAGTGTTGACTGTGTTTGTCCCTCCTGTCTCTCCATCCAGATGCACTTCTCTGCTGGTGGTTGGTGACACGTCCCCGGCTGTCGATGCTGTGGTGGGTGTCCACTTTATCTCCATGGCAACACAGTGGCGAATGAGTCAGGGGTTCTGATTCCAATACAAAATATCAAACCCCCTCAGGGACAGAGTTTTCTGTCTTTAGAGAGGATACTGGACATAGCCTTTCTGAAGAGGAGGGGCTAGACTCTAAACCCTGTCTGAACTTCTGTCTCATCTCTCTCTCTCCATTATATACAGGTTGAATGCAACTCCAGGTTAAATCCAACCAAAACAACCCTTCTTAAGGTGTGTTCAGTTACTCGTTTCTTTGTAGCAATATGAGTGGTAATGCTATGTGCTCCCTGCTGTTTTGCTCTTTAGTAATGCACATGATCTGAATGGTGCGTAGATGAGTTTCATCATTCTTGGAAGTGTTCATAGGCCAGTGAATGTGTTTTGGCTAAGGGCATGGTCCTTTCTGTGAGGTTCTTCACTCTGGGCATGTTCCTGATTCTCTCTTTACTTCCCTATAGATGCAAGACTGTGGTGGGCTTCCTCAGGTCATCCAGGTGAGTCATGTACAAGTTTTGTGTTTAGCTTAAACTACTAAATCTCAATGGCCAAGACAACTCTTACTTAATTCAGTTTTATTTTTAAATGGCTCAGTTTTCTGTTTTTGTCTTACAGCCGGGTAAACTCGCGGAGGCCTTCAAATATTTTGTCCAGGGAATGGGTTACAGTGAGTACTGCGCATTAAAATCCTCTATTATTATGTCTCCTTCTCATGGTACTTCTGTCCTCTCTAGTGTCAGAGGTAATGTTGGATTTGTGTTTCTTCATGGTCTGGTTGTATCAATCTGTTGACATGTTATATGTGATCTGTTGTATGTCCTGTTTACTGAAGTCCCTCTGTCTCAGAATGAGTCATCAGTCCAACTGAATTATAGTTCATTGAACGCTGCCCTTTCAGGCTGCAGCCCTCCCCACATGGACATCACACACACACACACACACACACACACACACACACACACACACACACACACACACACACAGTTCTGACCTAAACTAAGACTCAAGCATAATGTAGAATTCCTGTAGGACTTCAAGAATAGAGCGGAACCACAGTAGCTACCTACAGTTGAAGTCGGAAGTTTACATACACTTAGGTTGGAGTCATTAAAACTCGTTTTTCAACCACTCCACCAATTTTTTGTTAACAAACTATAGTTTTGGCAAGTCGGTTAGGACATCTACTTTGTGCATGTTTTCCAACAATTGTTTACAGACAGATTATTTCACTTATAATTCACTGTATCACAATTCCAGTGGGTCAGAAGTTTACATACACTAAGTTGACTGTGCCTTTTAAACAGCTTGAAAAATTCCAGAAAATTATGTCATTGCTTTAGAAGCTTCTGATAGGCTAATTGACGTGGATGTATTTCAAGGCCTACCTTCAAACTCAGTGCCTCTTTGCTTGACATCATGGGAAAATCAAAAGAAATCAGCTAAGACCTCAGAAGATAAATTGTAGACCTCCACAAGTCTGGTTCATCCTTGGGAGCAATTTCCAAACGCCTGAAGGTACCACGTTCATTTGTACAAACAATAGTACGCAAGTATAAACACCATGGGACAACGCAGCCATCATTCCGCTCAGGAAGGAGACGCGTTCTGTCTCCTAGAGATGAACATACTTTGGTGCGAAAAGTGTAAATCAATCCCAGAACAACAGCAAAGGACCTTGTGAAGATGCTGGAGGAAACAGGTACAAATGTATCTATATCCACAGTAAAACGAGTCCTATATCGACATAACCTGAAAGGCCGCTCAGCAAGGAAGAAGCCACTGGTCCAAAACCGCCATAAAAAAGCCAGACTACGGTTTGCAACTGCACATGGGGACAAAGATCTTACTTTTTGGAGAAATGTCCTCTGGTCTGATGAAAAAAAATAGAACTGTTTGGCCATAATGACCATCGTTATGTTTGGAGGAAAAAGGGGGTAGCTTGCAAGCCGAAGAACACCATCCCAACCGTGAAGCACTGGGGTGGCAGCATCATGCAGGGGGGGTGCTTTGCTGCAGGAGTGACTGGTGCACTTCACAAAATAGATGGCATCATGAGGAAGGAAAATTATGTGGATATATTGAAGCAACATCTCAAGATATCAGTCAGGAAGTTAAAGCTTGGTCGCAAATGGGTCTTCCAAATGGACAATGACCCCAAGCATACTTCCAAAGATATGGCAAAATGGCTGAAGGACAATAATAATAATAATATGCCATTTAGCAGACGCTTTTATCCAAAGCGACTTACAGTCATGTGTGCATACATTTTTACGTATAGGTGGTCCCGGGGATCGAACCCACTACCCTGGCGTTACAAGCGCCATGCTCTACCAATTGAGCTACAGAGGACAACAAAGTCAAGATATTGGAGTGGCCATCACAAAGCCCTGACCTCAATCCTATACAAAATGTGTGGGCAGAACTGACAAAACCTGTGCGAGCAAGGAGGCCTACAAACCTGACTCAGTTACACAAGCTCTGTCAGGAGGAATAGGCCAAAATTCACCCAACTTATTGTGGGAAGGTTGTGGAAGGCTACCCAAAACGTTTGACCCAAGTTAAACAATTTAAAGGCAATGCTACCAAATACTAATTGAGTGTATGTAAACTTCTGACCTAATGGGAATGTGATGAAAGAAATAAAAGCTGAAATAAATCATTCTCTCTACTATTATTCTGACATTTCACATTCTTAAAATAAAGTGGTGATCCTAACTGACCTAAGACAGGGAATTTTTACTAGGATTAAATGTCAGGAATTGTGAAAAACAGAGTTTAAATGTATTTGGCTAAGGTGAATGTAAACTTCCGACTTCAACTGTATATAACAACATTTAGTGGATGTCCAAGGCTGAGGTTACTGAGAACCAGTTGTATAAGCATACAAACCATTATTGGTAACTGACCAGGGAACTAACCTCAAGCTAACCTTGTTTCCTGTCTGTTTTCAGTGACTTTTAACAACGGGTGTAAGTAGTTGTTTGATGCTGAGTTAATAAATGACTTGTAGTAAGCATGATGGTCTGCATGGTCTCCCCCTGTTCACACACCTCTAAACACTCCTCGATGTGCTGGATCTCTGAACATACTTGGTGTGTGGGATGATCTGTGAACACACCTGAGAATGGTTCCCCAGGTCTTAAGATACAGTGCCCTAGACAGGGAGGGTGTTTACAGGCCCACATTTAAGGCTGTGGTTCATTTAGGCCACGTGTCAAACACAAGACATTTCTATCCGGCCCGCACAATGATTTGGGTTGTCAATTCTGCTCTACAAGTCACAGCAAGCACTACCAGTGCCAGCCAGTGCACTGTACCATATCGTCACTAATGGCACTGACCCGAATCTTCTACCAGACCGAAAGTTTAAAGGTGTTGTAGGCTAAAGAGGTCATTGCTATAGCCTACAGAAAATGTCATCTTGGTTGTCAAAAAGTAAGTTAAAGGATTTACACGCGGGTATAAATGACTACTAAAGGACAATAGGACACACAAGCTAGTATAAATTAGTCAACAGTTGAGTCATCTACTTTTTAAATTACAACCTGATGCACCCACATCTGTGAATTCAATTTCAATTGTGCCGCTGTCTTGTGTCCCGTTTACAGCGTGCAGCGGAGGGAAAGTGTACAGACACATGCCACAGTCCTAGCTAGGATACTAAGATGTTGCAGTCTGGCTTCAGTTTTTAAAGCCTAACAATGAATAACCAAAAAACAAAACCTGCATCAAAACACCATACAAAGGAGAAACATGTAGGCACACATGTAGGCTATGTTTTTATTTGGAGTTATTAAATACTTTTTGATTAGGGTCGCAGCATATTATGCACACCTGCAAGCATAGCAGCAAAGGCTGGACAAATATAATTGATCTCTTTTGTTTCAATATGTTAAAATGCTATATACAGCAAATGGCCCTTTATAAGTGGACATTATAAAGGGCCATATTTTTTGTAATAAAACAATGGCCAGTTTGGGTCGTAGTTGTAGGCCAATGCACATTCTTTTTGTAAAAACAAACATAACAGGCTATGTCTGGCCCTTGAATTCGTTGTGCTTTTTCAATATGGCCCGTGTGCTGATTTGAGTTTGACACCCCTGATTTAGGTCTACTGGGAGCAGATCTGGCTTGTTGAATGATTAATTATATTACAAACATATTGTATTTACATATTGGGCACTGTATCTTATAACTTTACCAAATTCCATTGGCTTTCTTTGATCACTGAGATAATTGAATCTTTTTTTAGCATTTCAAAATGTTTATATTTTGTTCATATTAACATTGCACAGAAAGGCTTAAGTTGCTAGCTCACAGAGTGGAAAATGGAAGGTGTTACATAATGAAAGCTGCTTGATTAGAGTCTTACAATAGTCTGAGTTATTATTGTTCTCTCTGTGGAATCTTTTCATCAGAAAGTTAAGCCTTCTGTACCCTTGTAAACCTTTGACGTTATTAGCTTCTGAAAATAAAAAAAACTCACTTGCATAACCCTGCACACCCCTACCACCCCTGGCCTCACTCTCCTCTCCCCCATACCCCCAGCCCTCACCCACTCTCCCCTGGTCCTCACCCCTCCAGTGAGGGCTGGTTCTCCAGGTATGTTAATCTCAGTGGCACATTAGTGTACTCATTAAAGGCTGCTCTAAGCCCCACAGCAGGGCCTGGCCCCCTGCCCTGGGGACCTGGACTCCCATGAGCCCAGAGCCGCCTGGCTGGCCTGTTGGCTCCACTCTGCTGAAATGTGCTGCTTGTGTGTGCTGCTGCCACAGGGACACTCACATGGGGCTGCTGGAGAGCAATGTTAGGACAGCATGGCCTCTACTGAGGGAACCATGTTGATACTGCACAGCACTGAGTACCTCCCCTCTGAAAGTTACCCTTGATGTTTTGTCTGCAACGTGACTACAGAGAGGCACTCCAAGCGGGCTCAGCTCCCCAGAGGCTGACCCGGGGTTGGGTTGGGATTGGGTGGCCCTTTATTACACGCCCCCTCACTCCTCCACCACTTGGAAGTTTAGGCCTGTTTGCTTTCCTGCTTGAAGAGACTGGGGATTAACTAGATCAACTGACTTATTCTGGATACCAAATCCTAGTAATTAAAATGAAATGGGTTACAGTATAGGCTTGAAAAACAATTTTCACTCAATGCCTGATGGCTCTCTTTCTTGTGAACCCTCTCTCTGAGGTTTAAATACACTGCTCAAAAAAATAAAGGGAACACTAAAATAACACATCCTAGATCTGAATGAATGAAATAATCTTATTAAATACTTTTTTCTTTACATACAGTGGGGAAAAAAAGTATTTAGTCAGCCACCAATTGTGCATGTTCTCCCACTTAAAAAGATGAGAGAGGCCTGTAATTTTCATCATAGGTACACGTCAACTATGACAGACAAAATGAGGAGAAAAAAATCCAGAAAATCACATTGTAGGATTTTTTATGAATTTATTTGCAAATTATGGTGGAAAATAAGTATTTTGTCAATAACAAAACTTTCTCAATACTTTGTTATATACCCTTTGTTGGCAATGACACAGGTCAAACGTTTTCTGTAAGTCTTCACAAGGTTTTCACACGCTGTTGCTGGTATTTTGGCCCATTCCTCCATGCAGATCTCCTCTAGAGCAGTGATGTTTTGGGGCTGTAGCTGGGCAACACAGACTTTCAACTCCCTCCAAAGATTTTCTATGGGGTTGAGATCTGGAGACTGGCTAGGCCACTCCAGGACCTTGAAATGCTTCTTACGAAGCCACTCCTTCGTTGCCCGGGCGGTGTGTTTGGGATCATTGTCATGCTGAAAGACCCAGCCACGTTTCATCTTCAATGCCCTTGCTGATGGAAGGAGGTTTTCACTCAAAATCTCACGATACATGGCCCCATTCATTCTTTCCTTTACACGGATCAGTCGTCCTGGTCCCTTTGCAGAAAAACAGCCCCAAAGCATGATGTTTCCACCCCCATGCTTCACAGTAGGTATGGTGTTCTTTGGAAGCAACTCAGCATTCTTTGTCCTCCAAACACGACGAGTTGAGTTTTTACCAAAAAGTTCTAGTTTGGTTTCATCTGACCATATGACATTCTCCCAATCCTCTTCTGGATCATCCAAATGGACTCTAGCAAACTTCAGACGGGCCTGGACATGTACTGGCTTAAGCAGGGGGACACTCAGGATTTGAGTCCCTGGCGGCGTAGTGTGTTACTGATGGTAGGCTTTGTTACTTTGGTCCCAGCTCTCTGCAGGTCATTCACTAGGTCCCCCTGTGTGGTTCTGGGATTTTTGCTCACCGTTCTTGTGATCATTTTGACCCCACGGGGTGAGATCTTGCGTGGAGCCCCAGATCGAGGGAGATTATCAGTGGTCTTGTATGTCTTCCATTTCCTAATAATTGCTCCTACAGTTGATTTCTTCAAACCAAGCTGCTTACCTATTGCAGATTCAGTCTTCCCAGCCTGGTGCAGGTCTACAATTTTGTTTCTGGTGTCCTTTGACAGCTCTTTGGTCTTGGCCATAGTGGAGTTTGGAGTGTGACTGTTTGAGGTTGTGGACAGGTGTCTTTTATACTGATAACAAGTTCAAACAGGTGCCATTAATACAGGTAACGAGTGGAGGACAGAGGAGCCTCTTAAAGAATAAGTTACAGGTCTGTGAGAGCCAGAAATCTTGCTTGTTTGTAGGTGACCAAATACTTATTTTCCACCATAATTTGCAAATAAATTCATAAAAAATCCTACAATGTGATTTTCTGGATTTTTTTTTCTCAATTTGTCTGTCATAGTTGACGTGTACCTATGATGAAAAGTACAGGCCTCTCTCATCTTTTTAAGTGGGAGAACTTGCACAATTGGTGGCTGACTAAATACTTTTTTTCCCCACTGTAGTTGAATGTGCTGACAACAAAATCACACAAAAATTATCAATGGAAATCAAATGTATCAACCCATGGAGGTCTGGATTTGGAGTCACCCTCAAAATTAAAGTGGAAAACCACACTACAGGCTGATCCAACTTTGATGTAATGTCCTTAAAACAAGACAAAATGAGGCTCAGTAGTGTGTGTGGCCTCCACGTGCCTGTATGACCTCCCTACAACGCCTGGGCATGCTCCTGATGAGGTGGCAGATGGTCTCCTGAGGGATCTCCTCCCAGACCTGGACTAAAGCATCCGCCAACTCCTGGACAGTATGTGGTGCAACGTGGCATTGGTGGATGGAGCGAGACATGATGTCCCAGATGTGCTCAATTGGATTCAGGTCTGGGGAACGGGCGGGCCAGTCCATAGCATCAATGCCTTCCTCTTGCAGGAACTGCTGACACACTCCAGCCACATGAGGTCTAGCATTGTCTTGCATTAGGAGGAACCCAGGGCCAACCGCACCAGCATATGGTCTCACAAGGGGTCTGAGGATCTCATCTCGGTACCTAATGGCAGTCAGGCTACCTCTGGCGAGCACATGGAGGGCTGTGCGGCCCCCCAAAGAAATACCACCCCACACCATGACTGACCCACCGCCAAACCGGTCATGCTGGAGGATGTTGCAGGCAGCAGAACGTTCTCCACGGTGTCTCCAGACTCTGTCACGTCTGTCACATGTGCTCAGTGTGAACCTGCTTTCATCTGTGAAGAGCACAGGGTGCCAGTGGCGAATTTGCCAATCTTGGTGTTCTCTGGCAAATGCCAAACGTCCTGCACGGTGTTGGGCTGTAAGCACAACCCCCACCTGTGGACGTCGGGCCCTCATACCACCCTCATGGAGTCTGTTTCTGACCGTTTGAGCAGACACATGCACATTTGTGGCCTGCTGGAGGTCATTTTGCAGGGCTCTGGCAGTGCTCCTCCTGCTCCTCCTTGCACAAAGACGGAGGTAGCAGTCATGCTGCTGGGTTGTTGCCCTCCTACGGCCTCCTCCTGATGTACTGGCCTGTCTCCTGGTAGCGCCTCCATGCTCTGGACACTACGCTGACAGACACAGCAAACCTTCTTGCCACAGCTCGCATTGATGTGCCATCCTGGATGAGCTGCACTACCTGAGCCACTTGTGTGGGTTGTAGACTCCGTCTCATGCTACCACTAGAGTGAAAGCACTGCCAGCATTCAAAAGTGAACAAAACATCAGCCAGGAATCATAGGAACTGAGAAGTGGTCTGTGGTCACCACCTGCAAAACCAGTCCTTTATTGGGGGTGTCTTGCTAATTGCCTATAATTTCCACCTGTTGTCTATTCCATTTGCACAACAGCATGTGACATGTATTGTCAATCAGTGTTGCTTCCTAAGTGGACAGTTTGATTTCACAGAAGTGTGATTGTTGTTTAAGTGTTCCCTTTATTTTTTTGAGCAGTGTATGTTTGTTTCCTCCCTGCCTTAGCTTTCCCCTCACACACTTTATGCTCAGGCTTTTCACCCACACCAGAAAAACAATGGCAAGTTTCAGAAAGTACCTCCCCTTTCTGATCATGCCTAAACATTGAAACCGTAGAGGACAAAGCAATGAGTACATTACGAGCCTACCCAAACACATATTTTAACATACTGTTGGAGGTTTGTCACTGTAGCATTCAGACTACTATACCTTCTGTCAATTGGCTCATCCCAGAAGGTCAGTGTTGTGTTGAAAGAAACGCAGTAGGCTACCAGGAGAGTGGTTTGAGTGTGAATAGATGGAGCCCATGTTTGAATGTTGTTTGAAAGGTCACTTTAGCTCTATACACTGTAGTTCCGTGGAGGAATTATCACAGTGGGGGCACATTCACCTAACTGAACTGGACCAGACAATGGACTAGACTGGTTGTCATGGAGCACACCTTGGTTCAAAGTCCCCTTTAAGGAATCTCAGGGCCACAGGTGGCATTCTCTTTAGTTTAAGAGAACAGCGAGAAGGCCTTGGAAGAGTCACATCCTAGCTATTTTGACAACTGTTAGGTATTAACTGAAAATTAATGTCAAAGTATGTACAGTGATAGAATGATCTGTACCTGGTGCCGCTTCAAATCTCTCCTAGGTAAAGCTGTAGGACACTTTCTTTCTTTTCTGATCTACATTTGTGAAGACTGAGCATTAATCTGACAGTCTCACCTTAACTTCTTCCCTCCTTTCCTCCTGCCCCTCCGTCAATGCGAACAGTCCCTCATGTACTGCTTAGCCACCTGGGCAGCGAATCAGGTACCAGGACCATAGGTAGCAGCCTTTGCTGCGCCGGCCTGCCATCTCTACCTACAGTGCTCTGCCCTCCCCACCCTGTTTGCCCATCGCTGGTTGACAGCTCACATTTTAGCCATCCTCTCAAGTTTTTCTGATTTTGCGCCATGAGATTTGAAGCATGACAGGTGGTCATTATTTTGTATAATATTTTAAGATTCCTTTATGTCTCTCTAAATGTGTGGTTTGAGAGAGTGTGAATGTTTGTCTGTTTATCAGGTAACATGGTTGTCTTCTGTCTTTGTTGCTTTTGTTCTTTGTTATTTTTCTCTTCTGTACAGATGGCCCTCAAATCTCTTGTGCATGCTGCATTCTCATATTGGCCTTTCCTATTTATTCATTTTTTCTCCGACAGTAAAAATGAATTGGAACTCGACCTGATCAGGCCTCAGATCTCTTTTCTTTGTGGGAGAATATGAACACTGTGAGGGATTCAGCTCAGACATTTCAGGCCCCAACCACTTGAATGAGATGTATATATTCATACAGTACTTTCTGAAATATGGTGTGAAACCCAGCATTCCTGCTTAGCTGATATCATTCCACTTGACCCTAACTAAATGGCAGCGTAGCTAGCATGAGGTGAACAGTATATTGTGATCAAGTTTTTGAGTCGTTAGGTTATTAGACTTCATTATTCTCCCTGCGCTGCATACCACCCCATCTTGAATTGGGAATGTTGATGCATTTTATGATTGTGGTATGATCACCAGCATCCTACCCCTAGCCACATTCCCTAAAGCAAGCTACCCCTCCCCAAAAACATTCCTACACATACAAACAGCAAATATCCTCATACCTGACTTCTTACTGTAATTGCTCTCCTCTTTCTCTCTTGTCTGTAGTGCCCACAGCCAGTATGACCCGGCTGGTGCGTTCTCGTACCCACTCTGCCTCCAGCATGGGCTCTGCGGAGGGCACCCGCAGCCGCACCCACACACAGCTAGAGGGCGCCACTGCCGCCGGCCCGGCTGTTGAACAGGCCAGGCCACAGACCATGGAGGTGTCCTGCTAAAGCACCCTGCCCAGAAAACATCCTCCTCCCTACCTCCCTTTCTCCCTTTTTTTCCTTCCCTTTCCCAAGCTCAGTCAGAGAGGATTGGAATCCCGAGGGGACGTCTGAAACGTGTTCGGAAAGATAATTTATTAAGCAGTCAGGTCCTCTGCTGTGTTCTCTCTCACTCTCACCGTTTCCTGTTGTCTATCTAACATGCCTTTATGTGCATGACTGCTGTGGCACGTCACCCTGGAAGTCAGTATGCAGGCAGGTGATGCTGCTTTTCTGGTTATCTATTTTACGTTTTGCTGTCTACCGCCTCTCCCCGTTAAAGGTGGGAGAGTTTTTTTTTTTTATGCTTAAGATATATATGAGCTATATTTGTATTTATAACTACTATTTGGGTCAGTGTGTCAGTTTAATGAGGAGTGTTGGAAAAGCGTCAGGCGTTTTCTCTTGCAAAGTACTCTTTAAGGAGTTAGGTTGCCCCTCTCTCCTTCTCCCTCAGAGGTCTTCCTCACCTTGTGTGCAGATCAGACCAAATTACAACACCCCCCCCTCGATCCCCCTCTACTGCCTCCTTAATGGTCCATTCCTAAATCAGTCTCATGCAGACTTGCTTGCACACCTTTCCTACTACACACAAAATCTCTTTATTTCTGTGTTTTTTTTTATTGTTATTATGTTGTGATTTGTGAAATACCTTTGCTTTCCTGGATTGCAAAATTATGTGATAAACATTTTCTTGTTCTGTACCTTTATACCAAGAATATCTGACAGCATGACCCTCTAGTAGATGAAACGTAATGAACATGTCTGTAAAATTGCTTTTGTCTAGATCTAGAAATAGTTACCTTGTGGTGTTATTGTTTATTTTCTCTTTCGAGCAAGTTATTTGAAATGGCAGACCCTAGGTTTTTGATACCCCCTTTGTTACTGACAGGCAGAGAAAAGAACCACAATTTCCTGTAGTTTTATTTAAAGTTCAAAGCAAGCACTTGATAATGCTCTTAAGTCAAACCGAGTACCTAAACTAGCCCACAGCTCAGTGAGTTAGGTGTATAACTGTGTGCCAGTTGAGGTACAGATAACATGACTGCCTCTTTCATTCTTGTATAAAACTTTCTAACTGGAAGCAAGTAATGTTTTCCCTTCTAATTAAATAAAGACTGGGTGAAAACAGCAATGGGTCAGATGCCTGAGGGACTGTGGATAGTGTAATAAACTGTTATTTTATTATTCATATTATTGGTCATTTTCTCTTTGGTTTTTCTGCGTTTCTCTCTGATTGTACTACACCTTGGGTGAGCTTGTGGTGATAATGCATTGTGCTCTGGCCCCATAGTATGGGTGTGTGGTGTAAGTCATACTGTCTGCTGACTATATACATTTGTACTGATAATAAAATAAAGCTAGAAGTTGTACATTACATTTGACTGGACTCCCGTCACTGGCCTGTGTATTTTCTTAAAAATGAATGAAATACAGTATCAGTCAAAAGTTTGGACACACCTACTCATTCAAAGGTTTTTCTTTTCTTTTTTACTATTTCTACACTGTATAATAGCAAAGACATCAAAACTATGAAATAACACATATGGAATCATGTAGTAACCCAAAAAGTGTTAAACAAATCAAAATATATTTGAGATTTGAGATTCTTCAAATAGCCACCCTTTGCCTTGATGACAGCTTTGCACACTCTTGGCATTCTCTCAACCAGCTTCATGAGGTAGTCAGCTGGAATGCATTTCAATTAACAGGTGTGCCTTCTTAAAAGTTAATTTGTGGAATTTCTTTCTTTCCTTAATGCATTTGAGCCAATCAGTTGTTTTGTGACATGGTAGGGGGGGTATTCAGAAGATAGCCCTATTTGGTAAAATACCAAGTCTATGTTATGGCAAGAACAGCTCAAATAAGCAAAGAGAAACGACAGTCCGTCATTACTTTAAGCCATGAAGGTCAGTCAATATGGAAAATGTCAAGAACTTTGAACGTTTCTTCAAGTGCAGTCGCAAAAAACAATCAAGCGCTATGATGAAACTGGCTCTCATGAGGACCGCGACAGGAATGGAAGACCCAGAGTTACCTCTGCTGCAGAGGATAAGTTCATTAGAGTTACCAGCCTCATAAATTGCAGCCCAAATAAATGCTTCACAGAGTTCAAGTCACAGACATCTCAACATCAACTGTTCAGAAGGGACTGTGTGAATCAGACCTTCATTGTCGAATTGCTGCAAAGAAACCACTACTAAAGGACACCAATAAAAAGACCTGCTTGGGCCAAGAAACACGAGCAATGGACATTAGACCGGTGGAAATGTGTCCTTTGGTCTGGAGTCCAAATTGGAGATTTGGTTCCAACCGCCGTGTCTTTGTGAGGCGCGGTGTGGGTGAACGGATGATCTCTGCATGTGTAGTTCCCACCTTGAAGCATGGAGGAGGTGTGATGGTGTGGGGGTGCTTTGCTGGTGACACTGCCTTCTCCTTCCTCTCCTCCTTCCTCTCCTTCTCCTCTCCTCCTCCTATCCTCAATCCTCTCCTCCTTCCTCTCCCCCTCTCCTCTTCCACTTCTCCATCCTCTCCTTCCTCTCCTCCTTCCTCTCCCCCTCCTCTCCTCCTCCTCTCCTGTGGAGGAGGAGGAGAGGAAGGAGGAGAGAAGTGTAAGGGCTTATTTACCAAGAAGGAGAGTGATGGAGTGCTGCATCAGGTGACCTGGCCTCCACAATCCCCCGACCTCAACCCAATTGAGATGGTTTGGGATGAGTCGGACGGCAGAGTGAAGGAAAAGCAGCCAACAAGTGCTCAGCATATGTGTGGATTCCTTCAAGACTGTTTTAAAAGCATTCCAGGTGAAGCTGGTTGAGAGAATGCCAAGAGTGTGCGAAGCTGTCATCAAGGCAAAGGTTGGCTATTTGAAGATTCTCAAATATAAAATATACTTTGATTTGTTTAACACTTTTTTTTGTTTACTACATGATTCCATATGTGTTATTTCATAGTTTTGATGTCTTCACTATTATTCTACAATGTTACAAATATAGAAAAACCCTTGAATGAGTTGTTGTGTCCAAACTTTTGCATTCGGAAAGTATTCAGACCCCTTGACTTTATCCACGTTTTGTTACGTTACAGCCTTATTCTAAAATGGATTAAACAAAAAAATAAATCTTCATCAATCTACACGTAATACCCCATAATTGTTTTGCAAATTTATTAAAAATATAAAACGGAAATATCACATTTACATAAGTATTCAGACCCTTTACTCAGTATTTTCTTTAAGCACCTTTGGCAGCGATTACAGCCTCGAGTCTTCTTGGGTATGACACTACAAGCTTGGCATACCTGTATTTGGGTAGTTTCTCCCATTCTTCTCTGCAGATCCTCTCAAGCTCTGTCAGGTTGAATGGGGAGCATAGCTGCACAGCTATTTTCAGGTCTCTCCAGAGATGTTCAATCGGGTTCAAGTCCGGGCTCTGGCTGGGCCACTTAAGGACATTCAGAGACTTGTCCTGAAGCCACTCCTGCGTTGTCTTGGCTGTGTGCTTAAGGTCGTTGTCCTGTTGGAAGGTGAACCGTCGTCCCAGTCTGAGGTCCTTAGGGCTCTGGAGCCGGTTTTCATCAAGGATCTCTCTGTACTTTGCTCCGTTCATCTTTCCCTCGACCCGGACTAGTCTCCCAGTCCCTGCCGCTGAAAACATCCCCACAGCATGATGCTGCCTTCACCATGCTTCACCGTAGGGATGGTGCCAGGTTTCCTCCAGATGTGACGCTTGGCATTCAGGCCAAAGTGTTCAATCTTGGTTTCATCAGACCAGAGAATCTTGTTTCTCATGGTCTGAGAGTCCGTTAGGTGCCTTTTGGCCAACTCCAAGCGGGCTGTCGTGCCTTTTACTGTGAAGTGGCTTCTGTCTGGCCACTCTACCATAAAGGCCTGATTGGTGGAGTGCTGCAGAGATGGTTGTCCTTCTGGAAGGTTCTCCCATCTCCACAGAGGAACTCTGGAGCTCTGTCAGAGTGACCATCAGGTTCTTGGTCACCTCCCTGACCAAGGCCCTTTTCCACCGATTGCTCAGTTTGGCCGGGCGGCCAGGTCTAGGAAGAGTCTTGGTGGTTCCAAACTTCTTCCATTTAAGAATGGTGGAGGCCACTGTGTTGTTGGGGACCTTCAATTCTGCAGACATTTTTTGGTACCCTTCCCCAGATCTGTGCCTCGACACAATCCTTTCTCGGAGCTCTACTGACAATTCCTTCGACCTCATGGCTTGGTTTTTGCTCTGACATCCACTGTCAACAGTGGGACCTTATATAGACAGGTGTGTGCCTTTCCAAATCATGTCCAATCAATTGAATTTACAACAGGTGGACTCCAATCAAGTTGTAGAAACATCTCAAGGATGATCAATGGAAACAGGATGCACCTGAGCTCAATTTCGAGTCTCATAGCAAAGGGTCTGAATACTTATGTATGTAAGGTGTTTTATTTTTTATTTTTTTATACATTTGAACAATTTTCTAAAAACCTGTTTTCACTTTGTCATTATGGGGTATTGTGTGTAAATTGATGAGGATTTCTTATTTATTTAATGCATTTTAGAATAAGGCTGAAACTTAAGAAAATGTGAAAAAAGTCAAGGGGTCTGAATACTTTCCGAATGCACTGTGTACTCATTGATTCTTGAAGAATATAACTTATAAATACCTCATGAGCTTAGTTCAACTGTTGAACCCCATCAGAACCCAAAGTATAAGCTTATTTTATGCCAATGTTTGTTTAGATTTACATTGTTTACAAACACTATATAGCTTCAAAACATGGTTAAAACTATAATTTTGATATCATGGATGGTCAGTCCTTGAATCCATAGCTCTGTCTATGAATTTGAGTGGTTTCATTTCTCCAGGCCCATCCCTCAGCTTTTTTACCAAAACAGAACCAGGGTGCCTGCTTTACTAAACTGTAAGTCGCTCTGGATAAGAGCGTCTGCTAAATGACTAAAATGTAAATGGAAAGAGAGTCTTCGTTTTTGATTCCATGGCAGTCATCTCTATGGCAATTCACATGGCTCAACCAGTTGTGAGTGTTACGAAGAGAAAAATTATTGCTCAACTCTTCGACCCACCCAACACCCTTTACCTGAATGACAAAGAATATGAAGCTCTAACTATTCCGGGGGGAAATGCTGTGACCTCACTTCACCCATCTGTGTTTTATACCACGGCTCATGCAGATGCTGCTGTAGAACAGTACATTTGCACAGACCAGTTGAATCTCATCGCTATTGCTGATGACTCACAGATCAAGTTATTGATGTAAAACGCTAGAGTCTGTGCCAATTACTACTGCCACATGTACAGTAGATATTGTTGAATAAAATCTTTCTTCCTTTCTCTTTTTCTTTGTCTTCGCTCCCTCTTCTCCTTCTCTTCACTCTCTTTGAAGGTTCAGGCCTTGTTGAAACAGGAAACTGAGTGTCTGAGTAAGAGGTGAATATAAACCCCCCTCCTCTCACATCTCTCCACTCAGATGTACTACAGAGCACTCTGCTCTGGTACACCTACAGAGCCTCCATCTACCACCACTGGCTCCTTTCCCCATTGGAACATCACAGAGGAGGAGAACACTCGTTCTCCATTGGTGTCTGAAGAACTCTCGCACAGATTCTCATACACATCATACTCACATTACACATGTGAATGCTACCAGCAGTGTGAAACGCCCAGACCCACTGGGTTACACCTCTATCCCCATGGTACTCTACTGTGGTACTCTACAGCTCTGACAACAACTCATCCCACAGCATCAGAGGACTGCCGATCATCACCAGTGCCACAACAGGGCAATGCTGTGAGTATTAACTCATTTTCAAGCTGAGAAGTCTAATTGATCTCACTGTATTTCATGTACATGTAAAAGGTTAGTTTTATTCAACCCTGATTTAACTTATTAAAAGCATATTTTTTTGCTTTAACAGAAAGAGGACAACAGTCACGTAAATATATATGACTGATCTTATATGAAGACTTTATAAATACATTTAAACAAAATTGTCCAGCCAGATCTAGACCCCTGCTGTGTTTTCTGACTCCTGGTTGGCAGACTGCTGTGGTTGATAATGGTCATCTGTTCCTGTATATTATAATGTAACATTAGATGGTCCCTTGTAGCTCAGTTGGTAGAGCATGGTGCTTGCAACACAAGGATAGTAGGTTTGATTTCTGCGACCACCCATAATTAAAATGTATGCACTCAATGATTGTACTATGTGAAGTGTTCAACTTGGGCCATAACACACTGGTACTGAGTACCGGCACCTCAAATGTTCTAATGCTTGAGTACTGACGCTTCTTATAGAATATTGACTTCGAAATATTGCAGATTTCCTGCACCTAAATATAAATAGTACCGGCACCCAAAATGAGTACTCTCACCTATTTCAGTCCACTTCAAGCACTGGCTAGGTGCCATATTACAGAGCACTGGGGGAAACTATTTACAGTATCTAGAGATATTTAATGGCAATATATTTCATATTACTATTTCTGATATTACCATCTATTTTAAATGTTTTTGAATTAGTCAAAATGAGACACAACCACATCGGGATAGAAAGGTGTTCACAAAAAGACAGCATTTATTTTCTGCTCAAGGATAACACTCCAGTGTTCAGACAAACCCAACCAGCAGCCCATGTGTAAAAACAAGAATTTGGTTGGAAACTAAAGGGTGTTCAGAAGAAGTGGTTTTCGACTTCCTCTCTCCCTTTGTTCAAGTTGTCACTGAACTAGCTTCCTGACAATAAATTAAGAAAGAAATTACAGGCAGGGCTATTTGAAGCCCTTGATATTGTTTGTTTTGATATCTGTTATCTGACATAAGTTACAATGAATTGTGATTGATGCAACAGTACATCAAAAGACATGATGCCCACCCAGAAGTACCTCAGTAACCAAACAGGCTACTAATCAATACCTGTGATTCCCTCCAGCCCACAGAGTTCTCTGGTGACCCTTCCATAAGAGCTCCACATCGCCATGGGCAGTGGGCCCAGTAAAGAGCATCAGGGATCCAGCACTCATGCAGCCTTTCTGGGCCAGGAAGAGCCCGCTGAGCCGGTCATACTGGGTAAGGCCTGGGCTCCATGTCAGATTGAGCACAGGACAGGACAAGGCTCTGGGCAACAAGCCAGTACTAGCCTATTTCAGATGGGCAGTGTCCCCAGGGGTCAATGGCTCTGGGTTTGTCTGGAAACCTATAGGCCAGCGAATTGAAAGTGTGCACAACAGCCAGGTCCATTTATTGTTAAGGACAATAATCGGATGGCCTTCATCTGACGTAAACTTTTACATCAAAACAATGTGACCAACATAATGATGAAGAAAGGTAGTTAGTGTTTCTATACATACATGGCGTGGTGATGCCCCAGATGTTTAGGCCCTATGTTAAATGTGACCATAGTTGGTGTGCAGGAAAGAGAAAAAAACAGACCTCCTGGTCTTCTGTTGAACCACAAGAGGTGAGAAAAGAAAAGAAGCAAGAAGCGAAAGACGTATAGTTAGAAGTGGTGTGACAGGGACCAAGTGACACAATCTGGACTCAGGGGTAGACGTAACATAGTACATGTAAATCTGGTACACTCCAATTAGTATGATATGTTACGTTTCGGATGGTATGTATTAATTTGTGGATGTCTGTCATCCATTTCATATGATATGTTATGAATTACAATTCGTACAATATGTTATGAATTGCAATTCGTACAATATGTTACGAATTTGCTAAACATATAATATATTACGAATTCCAATTTGTTGTGGCTAACGTTAGCTAGGTGGCTAACGTTAGCTGAGTTAGGGTTAGCAGCTAAGGTTGTGGTTAGGTTAAAGGGTTAACGTTACAGTGCCTTGCAAAAGTATTCATCCCCCTTGGCATTTTTCCTATTTTGTTGCATTACAACCTGTAATTTAAATGGATTTTTATTTGGATTTCATGTAATGGACATACACAAAATAGTCCAAATTGGTGAAGTGAAATGAAAAATATTACTTGTTTCAAAAAATTCTAAAAAATCAATAACGGAAAAGTGGTGCGTGCATATGTATTCACCACCTTTGCTATGAAGCCCCTAAATAAGATCTGGTGCAACCAATTACCTTCAGAAGTCACATAATTTGTTAGATTGCACACAGGTGGACTTTATTTAAGTGTCACATGATCTGTCACATGATCTCAGTATATATACACCTGTTCTGAAAGGCTCCAGAGTCTGCAACACCACTAAGCAAGGGGCACCACCAATCAAGCAGCACCATGAAGACCAAGGAGCTCTCCAAATAGGTCAGGGGCAAAGTTGTGGAGAAGTACAGATTAGGGTTGGGCTATAAAGAAATATCAGAAACTTTGAACATCCCACAGAGCATCAATTAAATCCATAACAAAAAAATTGAAAGAATATGGCACTACAACAAACCTGCCAAGAGAGGGCCGCCCACCAAAACTCATGGACCAGGCAAGGAGGGCATTAATCAGAGAGGCAACAAAGAGACCAAAAATAACCCTGAAGGAGCTGCAAAGCTCCACAGCGGAGATTGGCGTATCTGTCCATAGGACCACTTTAAGCCGTACATTCCACAGAGCTGGGCTTTACGGAAGAGTGGCCAGAAAAAAGCCATTCCTTAAAGAAAAAAATAAGAAAACATGTTTGGTGTTCGCCAAAAGACATGTGGGAGACTCCCCAAACATATGGAAGAAGGTACTCTAGTCAGATGAGACTAAAATTGGGCTTTTCTGGCGCAAACCCAACACCTCTCATCAACCCCCCCTGAGAACACCATCATGCTTCACTGTGGGGATGTTTTTCATCGGCAGGGACTGGGAAACTTATGTACGCTCATTTTAATTCCAGGTTGTAAGGCAACAAAGGCAACAAAATAGGAAAAATGCCAAGGGGGGTGAATACTTTCGCAAGCCACTGTAGGGTTATGAAAGGATCAGCCAATATGCTAAGTAGTTGCAAAATTGCTAAAATTCTAAAGTTGTCCATGATGAGATTTGAACACGCAACCTTTGTAACCATAACAAACGTAACATATCATACTAATTTCAGTGTCCTGAATTTACATTTACTATATTACGTCTAGTCTATGAGACCAGGCTGGGTGACAATGAAGTCCTCCTTCTTTCTGAGCTGTCACTCAAGATGTTAGTTTATGAAGATCACAGCAATAATTTGTAATCATTTCTTTTATGTCTTTCCTAACAATGACTACTCAGGTTAAGTGTGAAGTGAAAGCATAAATGTACAAAGAAATGTTGTCCTGTATGCAGTGCTTTTTAGATCATTTTTGTTTTCAGCATGAACATACTGCATTGTCATGGTTTGAGGTTCTTATAGTAGAGTCGGAGTGACAGTACTCTTTCATGTCTCTGTTTTGTCCATAGAGAGCAGCAGGTATGTGGTAGTGGCCCTGTACAACTATCCCACTGGACATCCAGCACACTGCCGCATTCGTGCAGGAGAGAGAATCAACGTGCTTTCATAGTAAGAAATCATAGCCTCTACCTACAACTACCACAATTACTACAACTGCTACTACTATAGTTATTACAACTGTACTGTGCTTTTTCTATGTAACCTATGTATCTCTTTTTGTGTTTCTGTGAATGTGCATGTCTATATAGCGAGGGGGAATGGTGGAAAGTTAGATCCTCTGCCACAGGCAATGAGAGCTACATCCCCAGCAACTACACAGCCAGGGTGTACCACAGGTGAGTCCACTGATCCATCTGACTATTCTCCTTTGGAGCTCTATTTACATGGATCTGTCTATTTCTCTATTCTCTTGCCCTAGGTGTCAGTATGAGGGTCTCAGCAGAAAGAAGGCTGAGGAGCTCCTGTTGCTGCCCCACAACCAGACTGGCTCTTTTCTGGTCCGGGAAAGTCAGACCTGCCCTGGTGAGTTCAGTTCACACTCCTAACACATTATCAAATGCTAACAAGAACAGGGAAACCAGCTTAAAATTGTAATTGATAAACCCGAAGTGATAAAACTTTGTGACTGAAGTATGGTGTTCACTGTCCACTCTAGGTGCCCACTCCCTGTCAGTGCGTAAGACCAGTGACCAGGACCGTTCTTCAGTCAAACACTACCGGATCCAACAACTGGAGAACGGCTGGCACTACATCTCCCCCTGCCTCACCTTCCCCACCCTCACAGCCCTGGTGGACCACTACTCAGGTCAGTAAACAGTGGCTTGTGAAAGTATTCACCCCCCTTCGCTTTTTTCCTATTTTGTTGCCTTACAACCTGGAATTAAAATAGATTTTTGGGGGGTTTGTATCATTTGATTTACACAACATGGCTACCACTTTAAAGATGCACATTTTTTGTTGTTGTGTGAAACAAACAAGAAATAAGACAAAAAAACAGAAAACTTGAGCGTGCGTAACTATTCACTCCCCCCCAAAGTCAATACTTTGTAGAGCCACCTTTTGCAGCAATTACAGCTGCAAGTCTCTTGGGGTATGTCTCTATAAGGTTGGCACATCTAGCCATTGGGATTTTTGCCCATTCTTCAAGGCAAAACTGCTCCAGCTCCTTCAAATTGGATGGGTTCCGCTGGTGTACAGCAATCTTTAAGTCATACCACAGATTCTCAATTGGATTGAGGTCTGGGCTTTGACTAGGCCATTCCAAGACATTTAAATGTTTCCCCTTAAACCACTCGAGTGTTGCTTTAGCAGTATGCTTAGGGTCATTGTCCTGCTGGAAGGTGAACCTCCGTCCCAGTCTCAAATCTCTGGAAGACTGAAACAGGTTTCCCTCAAGAATTTCCCTGTATTTAGCGCCATCCATCATTCCTTCAATTCTGACCAGTTTCCCAGTCCCATCCGATGAAAAACATCCCCACAGCATGATGCTCCCACCACCATGCTTCACTCTGGGGATGGTGTTCTTGGGGTGATGAGAGGTGTTGGGTTTGCGCCATACATTGCGTTTTCCTTGATGGCCAAAAAGCTCAATTTTAGTCTCATCTGACCAGAGTACCTTCTTCCATATGTTTGGGGAGTCTCCCACAATCCGTTTGGCGAACTCCAAACGTGTTTTCTTATTTTTTCTTTAAGCAATGGCTTTTTTCTGGCCACTCTTCTGTAAAGCCCAGCACTGTGGAGTGTACGGCTTAAAGTGGTCCTATGGACAGATACTCCAATGTCCACTGTAGAGCTTTGCAGCTCCTTCAGGGTTATCTTTGGTCTCTTTGTTGCCTCTCTGATTAATGTCCTCCTTGCCTGGTCCATGAGTTTTGGTGGGCGGCCCTCTCTTTGCAGGTTTGTCGTAGTGCCATATTCTTTCCATTTTTTTAGTTATGGATTTAATGGTGCTCCGTGGTATGTTTCTGATATTTTTTTATAACCCAACCCTGATCTGTACTTCTCCACAACTTTGTCCCTGACCTGTTTGGAGAGCTCCTTGGTCTTCATGGTGCTGCTTGCTTGGTGGTGCCCCTTGCTTAGGGGTGTTGCAGACTCTGGGGCCTTTCAGAACAGGTGTATATATACTGAGATCATATGACAGATCATGTGACACTTAGATTGCACACAGGTTGACTTTATTTAACTAATTATGTGACTTCTGAAGGTAATTGGTTGCACCAGATCTTATTTAGGGGCTTCATAGCAAAGGTGGTGAATACATATGCACGCACCACTTTTCTGTTATTAATTTTTTAGAATTTTCTGAAACAAGTAATTTTTTTCATTTCACTTCACCAATTTGGACTATTTTGTGTATGTCCGTTACATGAAATAAAAATAAAAATCAATTTAAATTACAGGTTGTAATGCAACAAAATAGGAAAAACGCCAAGGGGGATGAATACTTTTGCAAGGCACTGTAGGTGGTTAAAGCATATACAGCAGTTTAGAAAATGTTGAAAGCTATAGATACAACTTTTCAAACCATTTTGTGTCCAACCCACGCATTTGAACCTCTGTACAAGGAGTAGTGTAAAACGCACCCAATTGTCATTCTTGAGTAAAAGTAAAGATAGCTTAATAGAAAATGACTCAAGTAAAAGTGAGTAACCCAGTAAAATACTATTTGAGTAAAAGTCTAAAAGTATTTAGTTTTAAATAAGTACTAAAAGTATAAATAATTTCAAATTCCTTATATTAAGCAAACCAATATTTTATTTACAAATAGCCAGGGGCACACTCCAATACTCAGACATCATTGATAAACTAAGCATGTGTGTTTAGTGAGTCCGCCAGATCAGAGGCAGTATGAATTACCAGGGATGTTCTCTTGATAAGTGTGTGAACTGGACCATTTTCCTGTCCTGCTAAACATTCCAAATGTAACGAGTACTTTTCGGTGTCAGGGAAAATGTATGGAGTAAAAAGTACATTATTTTCTTTAGGAATGTAGTGAAGTAAAAGTAGTCAGAAATGTAAAGTACAGATACCCTAGAAAACAACTTAAGTATTTTTACTCAGGTACTTGACACCACTGTGCATAGGTAGCAGTGGGTTGAAAGCTGGGGGCATCTTCAAATCAAATCAAATCAAATCAAATCACATTTTATTGGCCACATGCGCCGAATACAACAGGTGCAGACATTACAGTGAAATGCTTACTTACAGCCCTTAACCAACAGTGCATTTATTTTTAATAAAAAAGTAGAATAAAACAACAAAAAAGTGTTGAGAAAAAAAGAGCAGAAGTAAAATAAAATAACAGTAGGGAGGCTATATCTACAGGGGGGTACCGGTGCAGAGTCAATGTGCGGGGGCACCGGCTAGTTGAGGTAGTTGAAGTAATATGTACATGTGGATGGAGTTAAAGTGACTATGCATAAATAATTAACAGAGTAGCAGCAGCGTAAAAAGATGGGGTGGAGGGGGGCAGTGCAAATAGTCTGGGTAGCCATGATTAGCTGTTCAGGAGTCTTATGGCTTGGGGGTAGAAGCTGTTGAGAAGTCTTTTGGACCTAGACTTGGCACTCCGGTACCGCTTGCCGTGCAGTAGCAGAGAGAACAGTCTATGACTAGGGTGGCTGGAGTCTTTGACAATTTTGAGTGCCTTCCTCTGACACTGCCTGGTATAGAGTTCCTGGATGGAAGGAAGCTTGGCCCCTGTGATGTACTGGGCCGTACGCACTACCCTCTGTAGTGCCTTGCGGTCGGAGGCCAAGCAGTTGCCATACCAGGCGGTGATGCAACCAGTCAGGATGCTCTCGATAGTGCAGCTGTAGAATTTTCTGAGGATCTGAGGACCCATGCCAAATCTTTTCAGTCTCCTGAGGGGGAATAGGCTTTGTCGTGCCCTCTTCACGACTGTCTTGGTGTGTTTGGACCATGATCGTTTGTTGGTAATGTGGACACCAAGGAACTTGAAGCTCTCAACCTGTTCCACTACACGCCCCGTCGATGAGAATGGGGGCGTGCTCAGTCCTCTTTTTTTCCCCGTAGTCCACAATCATCTCCTTTGTCTTGGTCACATTGAGGGAGAGGTTGTTTATTGTATTTTTAGTCATTGTATTGTAGTATTCATGTGAAGCCTGAGTTGCAACAGATTGATTGATGTTTCCTTCCAGAGGTCACTGATGGGCTGTGCTGTCTGCTGGGGGAGCCCTGCTTCATCCAGGGGACCAACAGCATTCCTGTGGCTACTGGCCCACTACCCATGGCCGTTAGGAAACCCACCCTCAACTGGAAAGATGCGGACAGGTGAGGTCATGTACTGTTGTCGTAATAGTTCCCTGTAGCTCAGTTGGTAGAGCATGGCGCTTGCAACGCCAGGGTTGTGGGTTCGTTTCCCACGGGGGGCCAGTATGAAAATGTATGCTCTGGATAAGAGCGTCTGCTAAATGACTAAAATGTAATGTAAATGTAAGATGCCAGTCTCTGTGTACGCATGTCTGCCAATAAATCTATTATTTGTCAGCATTTCCTCACTAATGGGTTTTCTCTCTGTCTGTCTGCAGCTCCATGATTTTTGGCAAGGACAATGAGGATTCCCTGGTGAGCGAGGGCCTGAGAGAGGCCATCAGTTCCTACCTCTTCATGACAGGGGACGGCAGCCAGAAATGGGACAGCTGAGACTGTAGAGAGACAAATAGTGAGATACACATAGACTAAAACGGAGCAATGAGCTTACCTACTGGGGCAGAGGGTACCTGAGGACCATATTACGTGGCCATGAACCTAATGGATCTCTAACATTGTTGAGGGAACTGAGATTCACAACTCAACCACTGCAGAGAACCATTGTTCTCAAAGCCATGGTTGTAAAGTGCTCACATTGCCAAGCAGACGAGGCCCATATTTGCTTGGATTCATGATCAGAGAACATTTTTAGATCCTGGAGGCAGACAAAAAAGTACTTTACAGAAATAAGGGAGTATCTGTGCCCATAGGAACACAACGTGTTCTTAATACAGAGATCATGCATTCAAACTGATTATAGGTTGCAACATTGAAAAAGTGTCCGGAATGATCCTCACTGTGTCAAATTGTGTGCATGATCTCTAATGTCAAACTAGAACAGTAGGTCTAAAGAGAGTGACACGATATGTTGCAATTTATTATGATTTTTGAAAGGCTGTTAACTTCATATTGAAATGTTCAATTCAGCCTTACTCATGATTATAAGTAACCACAGCTGATTACAATGTTCCTTACAGAAAGTAGTTTGATGGTGAGGTATACAGCCATATGAAAGTCATAACCACCTGCACGTTTCAAATAGATCCCGTATCATCAGTAAACAGACTATTTGGTTGGTTTTGTTGAACTACCTTGAAAACAAGGAACTGTTTGTTGTATGGGTTTCCTGTCCTGAACATAAACACATTTTAGCTGTTGCTTGTTCTCCACCGCACCGCCGTCTAACTTTGGCACAGGATATGGTCAAGGTGCAGTGGAAAAAATGATAGAGTACGGCAGAGACCGCAGAAAGTTATGGGTAGTGCTAAAGAGCATCTCAAAATTATGTGAAATATTTAAGTAATAAGGCAAGAGGGGGTGTGGTATATGACCAATATACCATTGCTAGGGGCTGTTATTATGCAAGACGCAACACGGAGTGCCTGGATACAGCCCTTAGCCATGGTATATTGGCCACATACCACAAACCCCCAAGGTGCCTTATTGCTATTATAAACTGGTTACCAACGTAATTAGAACAGTAAAATAAATGTTTTGTCATACCCTTGGTGTACCACGGCTGTCAGCCAATCAGCATTCAGGGCTCGAACCACCCAGTTTGTAATATGGTATAAAACACTTAAATGTGCTTATGTGGTTTCATCAACTGAAACAATACACTGTATATATTATGTGATCAATAAACATTTTGGAAATGTTTTTTTCTTACTATCCTACATTATCCTACATTAAAATGTTTTTTTAGTCAAATATGGAAACACATTTTTGTATATATATATTTTTTTTTCAAATCAGAGAATTTTAAACACGAAGAACCAAATGCAATATAAAGAAGATGAAGTGGCAAGCACAGTATTTTACTACTGTTGTTTGTGTAACATCGCTACATGCTGGAGGAAATGCGAAGTTCGTCAGGTTGCGGAAGACGTCAGCACCCACGACGCACGCGCCATGCCTATTCAATATACTTCCTGTTAGCTATCCTTAGTGTGTGGTGTTGTTGCATTTGATAATTTAATCCGTGTTTTTAGCTGTTATCCTAGCTATACCTCGTTTCTTCATGATTAGGTTGCTGTGTACTACTATTTTGTGCGTAATTCACGTCTTTACATTGATCAGCAATGCAAAAGGACAAGAGTTTACAGAGCTGGAGATGGCACACTACAGGTACAGTAAGGAGAATCGAGTAGGCTTTAATCACGTCTGTAGTTAGCTAACGTTAGCTATTTTGTAACTCCAAATCTAGGCGGCTTTCTGCCTTCTCCCTACAGTTTCAGCCATTAGCTTCGCCCAAGACTGGCTCATGTGAACTACAGTCCCGAGGCTGTGTTTTAACGTTTCGAAACGTCAATCATCGCTTGCGACGTCAGCGACAAATAGTCCTGTAAATAAAAAATATGAGTGCTTCTATCCGACGAAGCTACACTTCCCGAGTTAAGCTTACACACAGATGTTCGGAGCACTCAATATAGCTAATCAGCACAGGTGGTCGCTTCTTGTCTTAAGTCTGTTTTCATAAAAAGCGCTGTAACATGGAGACATATGGCCGTGTGAGAACACTAACCATATCAAGGTGTAATCTTTTTTGGGGGGGGATTTCTCGCTGATATGAAAGGTAGGGTCCTAAAACCGTACCGCAAGCGACGCATGTTCAGATTGAGTGTCTGGACTCTTAACAAACCCCCTGTACAGAAGATGCCTTTAAACCACAAATCAAACGAAAAGTGTATTTTTTATGCGCATGTACATGCTGAAATTAGAATGCAAGGTAGTGAAGGAGAGAAAACAGACGGCTGTGAGCGTCAATGTCATCATGAGCTTCAAAGTATACTGAACCAAAATATAAAAGCGACATGCCACAATTTAAAATATTTTTCATATAAGTTCATATAAGGAAATCAGTCAGAATGAAATAAATTCATTATGCCCAAATCTATGGATTTAACATGACTGGGAATATAGATATGCATCTGCATAACTTAAAGAAAAGGCAGGGGTGTGGATAAAAAAAACCAGTCAGTATCTGGTGTGACCACCATTTGCCTCATGCAGCGCAACACATCTCCTTTGCATAGAGTTGATCAGGCTGTTGATTGTGGCCTGTGGAATGTTCAATGGCTATGCGAAGTTGCTGGAAAATGGTGGGAACTGGAACACGCTGTCGTACACGTCGTCCAGAGCATCCCAAACATGCTCAATGGATGACGTCTGATGAGTATGCAGCTTCCAGGAATTGTGTACAGATCCTTGCGACATGGAGTCGTGCATTATCATGCTGAAACATGAGGTGATGACTGCGGATGAATGGCACGACAATGGGCCTCAGGATCTCGTCACGGTATCTCGGTGCATTCAAATTTCCATCAATAAAATGTAATTGTGTTCGTTGTCCATAGCTTATGCCTGTTTTTTTAATCCAAGATCCTAACTTTTTTTTTAAGGTAGTCTGACCAACCGATGCATATCTGTATTCCCAGTCATGTGAAATCCATAGATTAGGGCCTAATACATTTATTTCAATTGACTGATTTCCTTATGAACTATAACTGAGTAAAATTGTTGATATTGTTGCATTTATATTTTTGTTTAATTTAATTCCAGCGTGTACGCACTCGTTCACACACGTAAAAAAAATCTGCTTTTCATTTGATTTGGGCTTTAGTCCAATGATTTATGTGTAATGGAACAGAGTCATGATCAAGGGCTAGGATTAGCCATGGGGTTCTGCTTGATCTGCTCTTTTAACACACCCTATCTACTCTTGTTTGTTCTTTCCTGACAGAGAGAAAATCAAGACCATGTTTTACCATGCATACAACAGCTACTTGGATCATGCTTATCCATATGACGAACTGCGGCCCCTGACCTGTGATGGCCAGGATACATGGGGCAGGTATGACTATTACCTCTGCAGTTGTTAGACAGTAAACCAATGTTGTAATTTCCTGTGAATGACACAGCCAAGACTCATATCTGGGCAATCAATATCCAAAACCACCTGAAACCTCAGTGTTTTCCACTAGCGCCGGCTATCCTATACAGACGGTTACACACTCATTTTCAGCCTGGTACTTTTTCACAATTCGCAATTGTAAAAAAAAAAAATCAGCCGAGCCCTCTCCCGCTAGAATTAACAATATAAAAGATTATGAATATACTGACAAGATACATGTCTCTCCACCCTAACAATGGGAGTCGTCCACAAAGCTGCACAGCGGGCTGTCTAGCTTCCGCCTTTCTTTGGATTGGTGGATACATGAAATTATTGTAATATTCTTTGAGGGTTGTTGACGTCAACCGCCTGTATTCAATGGATAGAGATGCTGTGCTACTAGCCTCATACCATGAATATGCATAGCCATCTCGAGACGACTCCGATATAGTGTTTTTTCTCAAAGTTGCCGGGATGTCACGTCCTACTTATATCAGTACACTCGTAACAACTTAAGCAAACATGAAACTTCTATTAGATCAAGTAAATCTCATGTAGCAAATAAGCCATTAATTTTTTTGTTGACCAAATTCAACACTCATTGACCTCCATACAAAAACTCCTTGCTTGGTGGGCGACACAGTGAAAAAACGCCACCTGATGGAGGGAGAAAGATTTTCCGCCGAGCTGGGCCTCTCTCTCTTCCTTGTCCTCTCTGACGATATGCATCTTCTAGTGATCTATTGATAGGACAGGCACCTGTCTGCACAAAGTGAGCGATTACAGGGAAACACTGCTGGTTTGACAGTCTGCTGTCTAACCTGCCTCCCATTACCTTGGGGTGTGTGTGTTATGTACGCTGTGGTTGCAGTCACATTTCTTTACACGGAGGGAGAGGGCATGATGCTTTTTCATCGTCTATATGAGTCAATTTGCACGTCCCATATGTGGTAGCGATTAGTCGAAATCCACTTAGCCTATTGTTTTCTGGCACATTCATTTATTTTATTTTGTGTGTTTCATATGCAGCTACGAAGTGCTGGCGCATAGGCTTACTGTGATTTGATTGACTAACAGCAAGCTTGACTAGTTTATAAATGCTGTCGAACTGACTGAATAAAGTCTCATATCCTTGCCATTCATAAATCATACTACGTAGTTGTATGTCCATGCTATCACATTGGGACAATTAAACTAAAGATCTCATTTGTATTTTCGATATTAAGTCCATCAGGCCTTGCCAGACAGTGACGTTAAAGTAAGTGACTCATCAGTAGCCTATCGCATCTGTAAGAGAGCCGTTCATTTGGCCCCCTAGTTTGCATACTGGTAGTTTTTTTGGGCAACTACCTGCAGATAGAGTGCCTTCAGAAGGTATTCACACCCCTTGACTTTTTCCTAAATGTGTTGTGTTTCAGCCTGAATTTAAATGGATTACATTTAGATTTTTGTGTCATTAGCACAATACCCCATAATGTCAAAGTGGAATAATGTTTTTTGAAATGTTTACAAATTCATTAAAAATTAAAAGCTGAAATGTCATGAGTCAAGTATTCAACCCGTTTGTTATGGCAAGCCTAAATAAGTTCAGGACTAAAAATGTGCTTGACAAGTCACATAATACGTTGCATGGACTCTCTCTGTGTGCAATAATAGTGTTTAACATGATTTTCGAATGACTACCTCATCTCTGTACCCCACACGTACAATTATCTGTAAGGTCCCTCAGTCGAGCAGTGAATTTCAAACACAGTTTCAACCAGAAAGACCAGGGAGGTTTTCCAATGTCTTGCAAAGAGCACCTATTGGTAGATGGGTAAAAACAATTTGACTTCCAATGGTGACTTTAAAACAGTTAGTTTAATGGCTGTGTTGGGAGAAAACAACTGAGGATGGATCAACAACATTGTAGTTACTCCACAATACTAACCTAATTGACAGAGTGAAAAGAAGGAAGCCTGTACAGAATAAAAATATTCCAACACATGCATCCTGTTTGCAACAAGGCACTAAAGTAAAAACTGCAAAAAATATGGCAAAGCAATTAACTTTTTGTCCTGAATACAAAGTGTTATGTTTGGGGCAAATCCAATACAACACATTCCTGAGTACCACTCTCCCTATTTTCAAGCATAGTGGTGGCTGCATCATGTTATGGGTATGTTTGTAATCTTTAAGGACTGGGGAGTTTTTCAGGAGAAAAATTAAACGTAATGGAGCTAAATACAGGCAAAATCCTAGAGGAAAACCTGGTTCAGGCACTGGGAGATGAATTCACTTTTCAGCAGGACAATAACTTAAAACACGAGGCTAAATCTACACTGGAGTTGCTTACCAAGAGGACAACTTACCAAGAGTGGCCGAGTTACAGTTTTGACTTAAATCTACTTGAAAATCTATGGCAAAACCTGAAAATGGTTGTCTAGCAATGATCAACAACCAATTTGACAGCTTGAAGAATTTTGAAAACAATAATGGGCAAATGTTGTGCAATCCAGATGTGGAATGCTCTTAGACTTACCCAGAATGACTCATACCTGTAATCCTGCAAAAAATGCTTGCTCCTACAAAATATTGACTCGGGTATGAATACGTTTATGTAAATTAGATTTTTCATTTTCAATACATTTGCAAAAAAAGTCAAATCATGTTTTCACTTTGTCATTATGGGGTATTGTATGTAGATGAGAGAGAAAAACATCAATTTAATCAATTTTGTATTCAGGCTGTAACACAACAAAATGTGGAATAAGTCAAGGGGTATGAATACTTTCTGAAGGCACTGTAAATTACGAAAACATTTGATAAAGATGGTGAATCCTCCTCACTGCAGGAACAATAGATAGACTGGAGCGATCGCCTCACTCTGGTCCAAAATCTGATCAAATAAATGAATTGTTTTAAAAGCTAATAATACTTACAGTGCATTCGGAAAGTATTCAGACCCCTTGACTTTCTCCACATTGTTATGTTACAGCCTTATTCTAAAATTGAATAAATTGTTTTTTTTTTCCCACCTCATCAGTCTACACACAATACCCCATAATGACAAAGCAAAAACCGTTTTTTTGAAACGTTTGACCATTTATTAAAAATAAAAAAACTGAAATATTACATTTACATAAGTATTCAGACCCTTTACTCAGTACTTTGTTGAAGCATCTTTGGCAGCGATTACAGCCTCGAGTCGTCTTGGGTATGACCCTACAAGCTTGGCACACCTGTATTCGGGGAGTTTCTCCCAGATCCTCTCAAGCTCTGTCAGGTTGGATGGGGAGCATCGCTGCACAGCTATTTTCAGGTCTCGCCAGAGATGTTAGATTGGGTTCAAGTCCAGGCTCTAGCTGGGTCACTCAAGGACATTCAAAGACGTGTCCCGAAGCCACTCCTGCGTTGTCTTGACTGTGTGCTTAGGATCGTTGTCCTGTTGGAAGGTGAACCTTCACCCCCAATCTGAGGTCCTGAGGGCTCTGGAACAGGTTTTCATCAAGGATCTCGCTGTACTTCGCTCCGTTCATCTTTCCCTCGATCTAGTCTCCCAGTCCCTGCCGCTGAAAAACATCCCCACAGCATGATGCTGCCACCACCATGCTTCACTGTAGGGATGGTGCCAGATTTCCTCCAGATGTGAAGCTTGGCATTCAGGCCAAAGAGTTCAATCTTGGTTTCATCCGAACAGAGAATCTTGTTTCTCATGGTCTGAGAGTCCTTTAGGTGCCTTTTGGCAAACTCCAAGCGGGTTGTCATGTGCCTTTTACTGAGGAGTGGCTTCCGTCTGGCTACTCTATCATAAAGGACTGATTGGTGGAGTACTGCAGAGATTCTTCCATCCCCACAGAGGAACTCTGGAGCTCTGTCAGAGTGACCATCGGGATGTACAGTGGGGAGAACAAGTATTTGATACACTGCCGATTTTGCAGGTTTTCCTACTTACAAAGCATGTAGAGGTCTGTAATTTTTATCATAGGTACACTTCAACTGTGAGAGACGGAATCTAAAACAAAAATCCAGAAAATCACAGTGTATGATTTTTAAGTAATTAATTTGCATTTTATTGCATGACATAAGTATTTGATACATCAGAAAAGCAGAACTTCATATTTGGTACAGAAACCTTTGTTTGCAATTACAGAGATCATACGTTTCCTGTAGGTCTTGACCAGGTTTGCACACACTGCAGCAGGGATTTTGGCCCACTCCTCCATACAGACCTTCTCCAGATCCTTCAGGTTTCGGGGCTGTCGCTGGGCAATACGGACTTTCAGCTCCCGCCAAAGATTTTCTATTGGGTTCAGGTCTGGAGACTGGCTAGGCCACTCCAGGACCTTGAGATACTTCTTACGGAGCCACACCTTAGTTGCCCTGGCTGTGTGTTTCGGGTCGTTGTCATGCTGGAAGTCCCAGCCACGACCCATCTTCAATGCTCTTACTGAGGGAAGGAGGTTGTTGGCCAAGATCTCGCGATACATGGCCCCATCCATCCTCCCCTCAATACGGTGCAGTCGTCCTGTCCCCTTTGCAGAAAAGCATCCCCAAAGAATGATGTTTCCACCTCCATGCTTCACGGTTGGGATGGTGTTCTTGGGGTTGTACTCATCCTCCTTCTTCCTCCAAACACGGCGAGTGGAGTTTAGACCAAAAAGCTCTATTTTTGTCTCATCAGACCACATGACCTTCTCCCATTCCTCCTCTGGATCATCCAGATGGTCATTGGCAAACTTCAGACAGGCCTGGACATGCGCTGGCTTGAGCAGGGGGACCTTGCGTGCACTGCAGGATTTTAATCCATGACGGCGTAGTGTGTTACTAATGGTTTTCTTTGAGACTGTGGTCCCAGCTCTCTTCAGGTCATTGACCAGGTCATGCCGTGTAGTTCTGGGCTGATCCCTCACCTTCCTCATGATCATTGATGCCCCACGAGGTGAGATCTTGCATGGAGCCCCAGACCGAGGGTGATTGACCGTCATCTTGAACTTCTTCCATTTTCTAATAATTGTGCCAACAGTTGTTGCCTTCTCACCAAGCTGTTTTCCTATTGTCCTGTAGCCCATCCCAGCCTTGTGCAGGTCTACAATTTTATCCCATGTCCTTACACAGCTCTCTGGTCTTGGCCATTGTGGAGAGGTTGGAGTCTGTTTGATTGAGTGTGTGGACAGGTGTCTTTTATACAGGTAACGAGTTCAAACAGGTGCAGTTAATACAGGTAATGAGTGGAGAACAGGAGGGCTTCTTAAAGAAAAACTAACAGGTCTGTGAGAGCCGGAATTCTTACTGGTTGGTAGGTGATCAAATACTTATGTCATGCAATAAAATGCAAATTAATTACTTAAAAATCATACAATGTGATTTTCTGGATTTTTGTTTTATATTCCGTCTCTCACAGTTGAAGTGTACCCATGATAAAAATTACAGACCTCTACATGCTTTGTAAGTAGGAAAACCTGCAAAATCGGCAGTGTATCAAATACTTGTTCTCCCCACTGTAGGCCTCCTGTAGCTCAGTTGGTAGAGCATGGCGCTTGCAACGCCAGTATTGTGGGTTCGATTCCCACGGGGGGCCAGTATGAAAAATGTATGCACTCACTTAACTGTAAGTCGTTGTAAGACTAAAATGTAAATGTTCTTGGTCACCTCCCTGACCAAGGCCCATCTCCCCCAATTGCGCAGTTTGGCCGGGCAGCCAGCTCTAGGAAGAGTCTAGGTTGTTCCAAACTAGGTGTGGTGATATTAATTAACACAAATTTGGATCTGAATGTGCAAATAGTCAGGAATGATTCACAAGGAAGGTTGATCTTTTTGAATATGAAAGTGGATGGAAAAACAGATTTGGCTCAATCTATATGGTCCAAATCAGGATGATCCATACTTCTTCGAAAATATTTATACCAATTTATTGAACTTACAGGCGACACGATCAAAACATTATGGTGGGAGACTATAACACAGTGTTAAGTACCTCGATGGACCGTAAAGGAAATCACTCTACAAACTATCATCACCGTGCCCTTAAGGAAATCACAAATATTATGGACACATTAGAAATAGTGGATATTTGGAGACTAAAAAACCCTGACCTAGTGAGATATACATGGAGACTTAATCAAGCTAGTCGTCTTGACTACTTTCTTGTCTCTTTCTTGCTTGCATCAAAGGTTAAAGTATTAATAGGAGACAGAATGCGATCGTATCATCTTATTGGCCTTCACGTAACTCTTATAGAATTTCCACGTGGACGGGGATATTGGAAATTGAATCAATGTTTACAGGAGGACAATTTATTTTTAACTAGGACAAAATAATTTATAACTGCATTTTTCCAGTGCAATATAGGTTCAGCAAATCCCCTTATTGTTTGGGGTACCTTTTAAATGTACCTTCAGAGGTCATTCAATTCAATATTCATCAATAATAAAAAAGCAGTTTCTGTCTAAAGAGACAAGACTAACTAACAAGGGAAATACATGAACTAATAGTACAGGTAGATAGCAATAAAAACGTTACTACAGAGATACAAAATAAGTTAGAGGAAAAACAAAAAGAACTGGAGGATCTTATTCAAGAAGGATCTAATGTATACTATTACAAAAATAAACAAACTGGATGGAATATGGAGGAAAAATGCAACAAATTCTTCCTGAATCTCCAAAACAGGAACACTATCAAAAAGAATTTGCAGAAACCCGTTACTAAAGACAGTCATCTATGATTCGCCGAGCAGATGTTCTCTTTTCCGTCTCATCCTCACCCTCTAAATGACGATTACTGTAAGGAATTTTTTCCAAATATTTTTTTGGGGTTGAAAATTAACAAATGTACAGAAAGAACAGTGCGAAGGCCAAATTACAAAGGAATAACTTTTTGAGGCCTGGATTTGTTCAATTTCGGTGATTCTCTTATAAAATGGGTAAAAGTAATGTATAGCAACCTCAGGTGTAAAATAGTAAATAGCGGCTACTTCTCAGAGTTTTGAATTGTCGAGGAGTTAAACAAGGGTGTCCACTGTCACCAATCTATTCGTTATGGCCATCGAAATGCTAGATATTAAAATCAGATCAAATAACAACATTAGAGGGTTAGAAATCCAAGGCTTAAAAACAAAGGTGTCCATGTATGCCGATGACTCAAGTTATATATTAAGTCCGCAAGCTAGATCCCTGCAATGTCTCATTCAAGATCTAGATAACTTTTCTGGACTCTCTGGACTAAAACCTAATTATGATAAATGTACAATATTACCTATTGGATCTTTAAAAAAAATACAACTTTTACATTACCCTGCAGTTTAGCTATAAAATGGGCTGACAGTGAAGTAGACATACTTGGTATTCATATAACAAAATATATAAATGAGCTCTACACAATGAATTTCAATAGAAAACTAGTAAAAATAGACGAGATCCTGCTACCATGGAGAGGTAAATACCTACCTATTTATGGAAAAATTGCCCTGATTAACTCCTTAGTCATATCTGTTTACCCACTTACTTATGGCGCTGCCTACTCCTGATGATTTGTTTTTCAAATCATATGAGCAAAAAATATTTCGCTTTCTCTGGGATGCTAAACCAGACAAGATAAAGCTATATAATGAATATGAACTAGGTCGGTTGAGATTATTAAATCTAAAAGCACTCTCTAAAAGCTTCACTTATCCAAAAGTTTTACTTGAACCCTAAATGGTTCTCAAGTAGATTACTAAGAAAAGTTCATCCATTGTTTAAAAATGGCCTTTTTGCCTTTGTGTAGATTGCCATGTCTCATTTCCGATTAATTGAAAATGACACTTTTTTCAAAGTATCTCTCTTTTTCAAACAAGCATTGCAGAGCTGGCTACAATATCATCCCCCTGAAAAGAAAGAACAAGTATTACAACAAATATTATGGTTGAACTCAAATGTGCTGGTTGATAAAATACCTGTATTTATGGGAAAAATATATCAAAAGGGTGTTTTGTTTTTAAATTATATTGTTAATTGGAATGGTAGAGTTATGTCTTTCATGGAGTTATCAGAATTGTATGGGAAGGTCTGCTCAATCCAAGATTACAACCAATTGATTACAGCATTACCCCAAAAATGGAGGAGGCAGGTGGCAGCGGAAGGAGGTAGGGAACTGGTCTGTCTGCCCAATATAAAGGATCAAAACTGGCGGCAGAATAAAAATATCATGAATAGGAAAGTATACCAGTTTCATTTGAGGACCAGGATGTTGACAGCTGTGCCATACAGATTGCAAAATAGTTGGAAGAGATTTTTGATGTACCGATTCCATGATACAGGGTGTACGAGTTGCTATATAAAATGACGCAAGATTCAAGACTTTGTGCTTTTCAGCTAAAGTTATTGTACCAAATTCTTGCCACCAACAAAATGTTGAATATTTGGGGCATACAACCATCGCAGCTCTGCATATTTTGTTGTGAGGATACAGAATCAATAGACCATTTGTTTTGGTATTGCTGTCAGGGAGCCTGTTTCTGGTCTCAGGTTCAGGAATGGCTGAAAATGAATAACATTGATCTAAAATTGACCCTAGACATAGTATTGTTGGGAGATCTGGAGAGACTGGGTCAGTCAATTACTAATATACTAATATATATTATTATATTAGTAGCTCAATTGGTAGAGCATGGCGCTTGTAATGCCAGGGTAGTGGGTTCGATCCCCGGGACCACCCATACGTAAAAATTTATGCACACATGACTGTAAGTCGCTTTGGATAAAAGCGTCTGCTAAATGGCATATTATATTATATATCTTCAACTCGCAATCTGTGGATTCGATTAGATAGATTCAAATTGTATGTTAAACATCACAACATAGTTGAAAGATATATGGTGCGTAGAAATCCGAAGAGGGTGGCCAGCAGAGATAGGTGGGATGGGCTTAGGGAACCTGAGGGTTGGGATGTGGAATTGGAGACAAGTGGGAGTGGAGTTGCTGGGCGGGAGATAGAATGACTGTCAAAGATAAAAGTCAATAATAAAACAGAACAAAAAGTATGTTTGAATGACACAGCTAATGCCTGTTTGCCTGAGGCTGATGCCGTGCAGGGGTTTGTACACATGCATATACACACACTCTCATTCAAATGCACATACACATGCACATACATGGACACACACACATACACACATGTAAATAGTGCCATACATGCACTCGGATGGTTGAGGGGCAGCTCTTGGGGAACTGTGGGGGGGATCTTGGAGGGCTGGCGGTTGGGAGCTTGGGCCGGTGGCTGATGGGTCGCTGGTTCGGGTCCCCGTTTTTGACCATATGGGAGATCTGTCGACGTGCCCTTGAGCGGGGCGTTGACCCTGGTTGCTTCTGTGGGTCGTTCTGGATGGGAGTCTGTTAGATGACTAATGTGATTGTATGTTTTTTAAATATTCTATAAAAAATGATACATTATACTCACTGTCTCTTCTCTTAGCACATATGGACTCAGAACTGTTCTGTTTATTTTAGAGACCAATTTTTTCATTTGAAAAAGTGCCCATCACACAATTTGGTTGATTTGAAATGTAACCTTTTTTCGAGATCCTTTGGGCTATTTGCTTAACTTTTCTGTTTTAATAAAATACATAATTTGAAGAACAAACAATTGTGGCAACAAACAATTGTGGCAATTCATATCTTGCAGTAAAATACTTCAATCTCAAGAGAAGACAAGTTAAAGGTTTCATGTTCTCTTACTTAGAAAATAGTCTTGATCATATAGGCCTAGGCGATATCCCCAAAAAACGAACAATACACTGAATTCGTACATTCAGTCATTTAAATTGTAAACGCAATCCCACAACAAATTTTGTGTGATGATGACTTTACTATGACGTTGCACCTCTCCTTTCTTTTCAGTGTTTCACTGACTTTGATAGATGCCCTGGATACATTGCTGGTATGCACTTTCTCGTCATCATTATCTTACAAACCAGTTTGTCATACAATACCTGAGACAATGAGTTACTCCCAATCTTGTTTCCTCAATTTGCTTTCTTCAGATTCTGGGAAACCACACTGAGTTTCAGCGTGTGGCAACTCTGCTTCAGGACACTGTGGACTTTGACATTGACGTCAATGCATCCGTTTTTGAGACAAACATTCGAGGTGAGATTACAGGGAATAGGTTCAAATTTAAGCTATGAATAGCAAAAATGTCAAACAATGCTCTTGTCTAGGAGATGTATGTAGGTTTTTAGCTGTGTTTTGGTTGGTTGTAACTGAGATGGGTTTCTGTTTGCAGTGGTGGGTGGTCTTCTCTCAGCCCACCTGCTGTCTAAGCGTGCTGGGATGGAGGTGGAGGCTGGCTGGCCCTGTTCTGGACCCCTCCTCAGGATGGCTGAGGACGCAGCACGAAAACTCCTCCCTGGTGAGCAGTCCATATGATTGGATTTATTTTATTATTAGTGTCTTGCATCTTTCAGGTGCCCAGCCCACATGGGCTTATAAAACACAAAAATATGCACACAAACATATGGCTTTGACATTGCATTTGCCTGGCTCTGTATATGACCAGACTTAGGCTCACATTTTCCGCTTATAATTTTCTTCCTGTCTGCAGCGTTCCAGACCCCCACAGGGATGCCCTATGGCACAGTGAACCTGCTGAGAGGGGTGAACCCTACAGAGACCCCTGTCACCTGTACAGCTGGGGTGGGCACCTTCATCCTGGAGTTCTCATCCCTTAGCCGGCTCACTGGGGACCCCATATTTGAGGACGTGGCGCGCAAGGCCCTCCGGTCACTGTGGAAGACTCGCTCTGAGATAGGACTGGTGAGTCGGCAATAAGAGCTGCCGATTTTAGTCCTGTGATAATCTGTTTTATGCTGTCCTGTTGTGATGTGTGTAACATTCATATAGTAGATTTATTGAAACCTTTAGATTGCTTGGTACACTTTGTCAGATATGACCCAGTGACCTATGAGCTGTTTCTTTTTTCAAGGTGGGGAACCACATTGATGTCCTCTCCAAGAAATGGGTGGCCCAGGACGCAGGTATAGGGGCCGGTGTGGACTCCTACTTCGAGTACCTGGTGAAAGGCTCTATCATGCTACAAGATGAGGAACTGCTATCAATGTTCTTAGGTATTATTACTAGTTTATAGTCAGACCACTTGATCATGTGGTAGATAGATACAAACAAATTGTACATTGCAAGTACATTAGTCATTTATTTTTATATTTTTTGGCATCCACAGAGTATGACAAGGCAATTAAAAACTACACCAAATTTGATGACTGGTACCTGTGGGTCCAGATGCACAAGGGAACAGTCTCTATGCCTGTTTTCCAATCACTGGAGGCCTTCTGGCCTGGGCTACAGGTAAACTACATTTCTCATTTTGCTAATCTACTGTATTCCCAATTAACCGAAAAAATTAAATGTGTTTGTGTGAATGTTTCAGAGTTTGATCGGTGAGCTGGACAGTGCATTGAGGACTTTCCATAACTACTACACGGTGTGGAGGCAATTTGGGGGACTGCCGGAATTCTACAGTATTCCACAGGGATACACTGTAGACAAGAGAGAAGGATACCCTTTACGGCCAGGTACCAGACAAAACTTGCTCCGTTCGTTACAATAGTGCATAAGGGTCATACTGAAGATTTCTCTATTTGTATTTTGCTCCTTTTGTTGTTTCAGAGCTGATAGAGAGTGCCATGTACTTGTACAAAGCCACTGGTGACCACACATTTCTGCAGCTCGGTCGAGATGCTGTGGAGTCCATTGAGAAGATCACTCGTGTCCCCTGTGGCTATGCCAGTGTGAGTGCTTTAAGCTCCTCAAGACTCCGCTGGATAGCAAATACTTACTTAGGACTAATCAGAATGTTCCCTACAGAAGTTGTTTGTAATTGAGAATTGTATTGTTGTTTTACCTCTTTCTCCCTCAGGTGAAAGACATCAGAGACCACAAGCTGGACAACCGCATGGAGTCCTTCTTCCTGGCAGAAACCATCAAGTACCTCTACCTCCTGTTTGACCCAGACAACTTCCTTCACAACAGTGGACTGGACTTTGAGCTGGGCACTGGCCCCAGTGAGGACTGCGTTTTGGGGGCAGGGGGTTACATCTTTAACACAGAGGCCCACCCCCTGGACCCTGCTGCCCTTCACTGCTGCAGCCGCAAGCAGGAGGAACGCAGAGAGCTGCAGGACATCCTCCTCAACCTATCTGAGCCCCTCGCCAGTCCACAGGAGACCCAATCACAGGAGACAGACAGTGAGACAGAGCCACCTGTCATGGATCCTTCAGAGAGTATAGCGCTGAAGCCTGGGACCAGCAGAAAAGCCCCTCTCCTCTCCTGCCCCATGCAACCCTTCAGCGCACGGCTAGCTGTCATGGGTCAAGTCTTTACAGACAGAACATGACAAGGACTTACAGATGTTTTCACTTTTTGAAGATTTAACTTAAAGATGGAATCTGCAATGGGGGGAAACAGCGCCACTGTCTGCCCCACGTCCGTTGTTTTTGTTTTGTCGACAAAGCAGAAGTGGGGAACGTTGCGCATCAAGGTAAAAAAAGAATTGCAGTACATATGCTGCTGTTCTATCGTGGGGCAATGATGTCAGAGAAAGAAAAAAAAACATGTTGTTTGCAGTAACTTCTTTGTTGTAATATCGCAAGCGGACGTGGCAGTTTCACCATTAAAGGGATACTTCGGGAACCAAGTGCAATGTTGGTCATTCTTAATCGGGACCAATTTGATTTAAACTGATATTTTACGGATGATAGTAACAGGATATACAGAAAGTTTGAGCTACTATTTTTATTTGACTAATTTGCTAGCAGATACCCTTAGACTTCCAGTCCTTGCACTAACGCTAGTTAGCACGGGCTCACGAAACTACCTCAAACTTACTTCATTCTGGACACAGAGACATAAATGTTATCCACGAGTTCATCGGACTCTGGGGAAGTAGATCAATGGCCTTATTGCCAAAATCCTTTAGTATCCCTTTAAGGATTCCAGCTTTTGACATTTTCATATGAACTCAAAAGTGATGGAACCAATGATGTATATACACTGGATTGCTGATGCTATGTATTGGCCATTGAGAGGCTTTCAAGCCACCGTTCGGCAAGTAAGAGTAGTCCTCCACATAGGAATGAATGGAATTCTACAGTATTTCAATTAAATGTTTCAAGGACAAAATTACATGTATTTAAGTATATTTTTGTTGTAGTGCGGACAGTAACATTTAGTTATCTAACAAAAATATACTTTAAGGAAAATGTTTTTATATTTTTATTTTATTTTTGTTTAGCTCACATAGTATTTAAAAGTATGCATTAAGAATATAATAAATGTGGCAAAAACGAATGTAGACATTAATAAATGCATTTCTATAGCTTCCAAAATATTTGTTACAATGGTGGGGGGAGTGCCACGATGGCGGCACGGTGGCTTCAACACAGTGCCCCCTATCAGTAATCTAGTGTATATACAAATCATTGGCTGGAACTCGGAGGCAAATAACATTTGACACTTGTAGTTGCTAAAACACACCAGTAGGTGGCCCTGTGCGAACTAGGTCATGGCTAGATGTGTGATGCAGCTTATGTCAAATTGACTTCAAATAGACCCTGCGCCAGGATAAAGTGACTAAAGGCGTCCGCATGCTTCCCAGCTGAAACAATTCGGAAGAGTTCATGCATACATTATGATGACATTTTGTGATGTTTTTGTTCATTTTGGACTTCGGTACGGGTTTTTTCAGCTGTTTGGGCACACATTTATTCTTGAGGTAAGTCTCGGTCTGTAGCCTAAAGGCGTCATCATCCTTTAGTTCGGCTGGCGCGTAGCCGAAACTCCACTAACCGAACGAGTGCGCTCGCAATGCTCCCTTAAAATACTTTTGCTTGAAAACAAGAAAAAGCAACAATAGTACGACAATACACTTCCTCAAAATAATCAGAATTAATCTAAGATAACTCAAGAAATCTATTATTAATTTTGATATTTTTGCCGAAGAGATCATGGTAGCGCAATTTTACATCTAACTAAGCTGTTTGATGCAGTATTTTAAATAAAATAAAATTAGCATGAAACGAGTCGTCTTTCGTTGAATGACAAAGACTTCATTGAAGAATCCCTACTGTTGACCAATCACCGACGAAGGGGCTTAGATGTCGGCGCCAAACTTTGGCTTGTTTCCAGTAGAAAATGTGTGCCTGAACAGCCGAAAAAACCCTCACCGAAGTTCAAAACGAACAAAAATGTCACAAAATGTCATCATAATATATGCACCAACTCTATCGAACTGTTTCAGCTGGAAATCATGCGGACGCCTTAAATCTCCGCCCCTTCGTCGGTGACTGATCAACAGTAGGGATTCTTAAATAAAGTCAGTGGCGACCCGTCATTGAGGGCAGGTGGGGCGCATTATTTGAAAAAAAATAACAGGTTTTGCATGTTATTTTGGCATTAATACGTGTCACATATCAGTTTACAAACAATGTAAAAAACAAAAAAAATCATTGCGTTAATAAAGCCTCCATACAAACATGGTCTCTTTTTTGCTTAAGGCAGCTCCAAAATGCAGGTGTTTCAGCCTAGCTCAGTGCTTTCTGTGGTGGTGGGGCAGCCAGCGGAAAATACGGAGCGTAGGGGTTGGTAATGTTCTCAAGTTGTATTTTGCTCCTTTTGTTGTTTCAGAGCTGATAGAAAGCTCGAAAATTCAAGCCCCTTGGGTGCTGCCATAGAGTTACAGTGAGGGGAAATAGTATTTGATCCCCTGTTGATTTTGTACGTTTGCCCACTGACAAAGACATGATCAGTCTATAATTTCAATTGTAGGTTTATTTGAACAGTGAGAGACAGAATAACAAACAAAAAAATCCAGAAAAACACATGTCAAAAATGTTATAAATTGATTTTCATTTTAATGAGGGAAATAAGTATTTGACCCCACTGCAAAACATGACTTAGTACTTGGTGGCAAAACCCTTGTTGGCAATCACAGAGGTCAGATGTTTCTTGTGTGCAAACCTGGTGGCCAACTACATCTCAGGAGGGATTTTGTCCCACTCCTCTTTGCAGATCTTCTCCAAGTCATTAAGGTTTCGAGGCTGACGTTTGGCAACTCGAACCTTCAGCTCCCTCCACAGATTTTCTATGGGATTAAGGTCTGGAGACTGGCTAGGCCACTCCAGGACCTTAATGTGCTTCTTCTTGAGCCTCTCCTTTGTTGCCTTGGCCGTGTGTTTTGGGTCATTGTCATGCTGGAATACCCATCCACAACCCATTTTCAATGGCCTGGCTGAGGGAAGGAGGTTCTCACCCAAGATTTGACGGTACATGGCCCCGTCCATCGTCCCTTTTGATGTGGTGAAGTTGTCCTGTCCCCTTAGCAGAAAAACACCCCAAAGCATAATGTTTCCACCTCCATGTTTGACGGTGGGGATGGTGTTCTTGTGATCATAGGCAGCATTCCTCCTCCTCCAAACACAGGGAGTTGAGTTGATGCCAAAGAGCTCGATTTTGGTCTCATCTGACCACAACACTTTCACCCAGTTCTCCTCTGAATCATTCAGATATTCATTGGCAAACTTCAGACGGGCCTGTATATGTGCTTTCTTGAGCAGGAGGACCTTGCGGGCGCTGCAGGATTTCAGTCCTTCACGGCGTAGTGTGTTACCAATTGTTTTCTTGGTGACTATGGTCCCAGCTGCCTAGAGATCATTGACAATATCCTCCCGTGTAGTTCTGGGCTGATTCCTCACCGTTCTCATGACCATTGCAACTCCACAAGGTGAGATCTTGCATGGAGCCCCAGGCCGAGGGAGATTGACAGTTATTTTGTGTTTCTTCCATTTGCGAATAATCGCACCAACTGTTGTCACCTTCTCACCAAGCTGCTTGGCGATAGTCGTGTAGGTCTACAATCTTGTCCCTGACATCCTTGGAGAGCTCTTTGGTCTTGGCCATGGTGGAGAGTTTGGAATCTGATTGATTGCTTCTGTGGACAGGTGTCTTTTATACAGCACACTTTAAGAGTGTGCTCCTAATCTCAGCTCGTTACCTGTATAAAACTGATTGAGAGGGGGTCAAATACTTATTTCCCTCATTAAAATGCAAATCAATTTATAACATTTTTGACATGCGTTTCTCTGGATTTTTTGGTTGTTATTCTGTCTCTCACTGTTCAAATAAACCTACCATTAAAATTATAGACTGATCATTTCTTTGTCAGTGGGCAAACGTACAAAATCAGCAGGGGATCAAATACTTTTTTCCCTCACTGTACATTAGAAGTGCCCATCCAAGAAGGCTCGAGGTCATTGCCCACAGATAAAATTACCTCAAATCACGTTAAATCTACAGTAGCTTTGGACTGATCATGTCAACATCATACTTTCAAAATCTTAGCAGTCATCATCATGAATCAAGTCGACAATCTACTGGTAAATCCTTTTTAATCCTTGTCATATGAAGAGAAATTATAGATAAAACATATCGGTGCTCATCGGCCATTGGACATAAACATTACACAAATTGGAAATCGTAAATTCAACAATGTGGTTTGGAAGGAACCAGTGGCTAACTGCAAGCATTGCAAAGCAATCACTAGCCAATCACTGTCAATGAAGCATGATTTCTGCCGCGCTCAAAACAACTGTTAACTCAGAACTGGGAAATCTGACGTTTTGAACAGTCATCCAACTCGGAATTGTAAGTCAGGAACTCGGGCCTCTTTCTAGAGCTACGACCTGAAGATCACTGATGTCATCAGGATTCGACCTTGTTTTTTTTTCGAGTTCCCAGTTGTCTTGAAAGCACCATAAATCCAGAGAATGCCAGACTTTGATGACAAAATTGCTAACTGACAAACAAACAAACAAAAATGCCCACGAAGGACCTCTGCGCCACCTTCCTGTTCAAGTGAGCACAGCACAACAAGGTGAGTCCAAAAATGTATTTTATGCTGCTGCATAAATTATGTAATATGCCAGGGAGATACAGTTGAAGTCGGATGTTTACTTACACTTAGGTTGGAGTCATTAAAACTTGTTTTTCAACCACTCCACAAATGTCTTGTTAACAAACTATAGTTTTGGCAAGTCGATTAGGACATCGACCTTGTGCATGACAAGTAATTTTTCCAACAATTGTTTACAGACAAATTATTTCACTTATAATTCACTGTATCACAATTCCAGTGGGTCAGAAGTTTACATACACTAAGTTGACTGCCTTTTAAACAGCTTGGAAAATTCCAGAAAATGGTGTCATGGCTTTAGAAGCTTCTGATAAGCTAATTGACATAATTTGAGTCAATTGGAGGTGTACCTGTGGATGTATTTCAAGGCCTACCTTCAAACTCAGTGCCTCTTTGCTTGACATCATAGGGAAATCAGCCAAGACCTCTGGTTCATCCTTGGGAGCAATTTCCAAACACCTGAAGGTACCATGTTCATCTGTACAAACAATAGTACGCAAGTATAAACACCATGGGACCACGCAGCCGTCATACCACTCAGGAAGGAGACGTGTTCTGTCTCCTTGAGATGAACGTACTTTGGTGCG